AATAGAGAGAGAGCGAGAGAGAGAATGGACAGGAACAAGAGGGGATTTGAGGTGCTTTGAAATGGCCATTGTCCTTAATAGTAAGGCCCTTTTATGAATGACTGATTTACTTTAGTGGGGCATGGCATCTGGTTTGGGTTTGACTTGCATCTTGTTTTGGGAAGGTGAACCCCTTCACCTCCAAACTCTCCATGTTAACTTGGACAAGATTCAAAGTCCGTGGCAGACACGCATTAGAGGATAAATACCCTGCTTTAAGGGATACATGGATTCTGTCAGTGTGTTTTTCACAGACGAATTTCCTTATGCGTCTTCTCGGTGCGTCTGCTGTTTTTTCAGTGACAGCTGATAAATGTATAAACTGCCACTGCTGGCTGAACAGAACCTAAGCCAGATGCAGCCTGTTGCTGCCATTGCTGAAATAAATACGCAGGCCAATCACAAACCAGGCTTTTACAAGACTTTTGTTACCTTCATACCTCTGCGCTGAGCCCCCTCCACTAAAATGTTTTCTTCCCTCAGAGTTTCCCTTCTTAACCCCTGTGTGTGGGAAACCTCAGGTTGCTGAGGTTAGGTTAAACAAGCCACCATCAAAGCCATATTACCACTCGGGTCAGAGGAGGGTCAGGGTGCAGCAGGGTGTATGGTTTGAGGCCCTAACTGGAGGGCACAACTGCCAACCATCCAAAGAGTACTGCCCTGGATGGTTACACCAAGCAGCAACTCTATTATGTTCAGCTTTACTCGGCGCACAAAGCACAGTGGTCTGTGCAGCCATACCAAATCACTGAGCAATGCTGCATGTGCCAAAGGAGAGTAAGTGAAAGAGCTGTTTTCTGCAAGTAAAGTAGGGAAAAAAAACATCACCAGCATGAAAGTAAAGATTAGTAGGGTGTTGAGGTGTGCTAGAAGTCTGTTGTGTTGATGGCCATTAATCTGAAAATTGCACATATTTTATATATCTGGCAGCTGTGTGTCTGAAAACTTCATAGTGGGCTTTTTGTTCCAGTCCTTTGAACCCCAGGGCATTTTACGTTCCTCCCATCCTTCCCCAATATTCCTCCCCCAGCTTAACCATGATGAATACAGTAAAGGCTCATTTAAAGGGTCATTAGTGCTAATCCTCCAAAACAATGAGGAAAGAGAAACCGTGTGCTCCTAGTCCTCTGACTCTATCCAGGAATAAAGACCTCTTGTCTGTTCCACAGATGTGTAGAAGAAGCCTGTTCTACTTATATCACGCTAGATAACATAAATAAATGACTCATTCAAATCGAAGCGTTTATGAAAATGACATTTTTCTCATAAGGGTTTCTCAAGGGGTTCCTGAAATTGGCAACATGCATTTAAACTCGGATTTTAGAGGTAAGAAGCAGTGGCAGCAACAGACCAGAGGTTCAGAAGCCAACTGTATACTAACTTTCAGATTTTAGCATATTTGCTCATATTGTTTCTTGTATTTATTTAGTTTTGAATATATCTAGCATTGTTTAGAGCAGGATGTACTGGGTAAGTTCTCTGCTGCGTGTGTGCCTGAGGGCAAGAACTCTGGATAACACTTTTTTTTTTAAGCGTGTGTACAAAACAAAACACTCAGTAGTGAGTAAGTGACTGTGTTTGAACACACTGATCTAATTCAGTTAATCTGATGCAGTTAATCCTTATAACCACCAATGCTTAAAGCAATATTTAAACTGTCCAACCTGGAGAATCTTAAATCTTAAATGCTCTCCAACTTTCAAATCTGGAGCAGGGGTTTCAGTAAAACTCTATGGATATTCACACCATGTTTTGCCTTCATTCTTATTTCCTCTAGAGCAGTTGCATCTATTTTGAGTGGCTATACTGTGTGTTTTTGTGTATGTGTTTGCATACATACTCCGGGCAGATAGGAATGATCCAGTTCAACACAGCCCAGAGAACACGTTAATGGTATCCTCGTTGCCCTATCTGTAGCCACTGACTTTGACTTAAGACTGCTTCAAAGTTTGTTTTTTTTAATCTGAAATATGCAAAGAAGAAATATCCTTAATTGTAATTTTGATTGTGAGGAAAGTGACTCTGTAGTTTTCCTTCATGTGGACAGGAAACTTGCTGCAATAGGTCTTAATACAGCCAACTGACATCAATCTACCTTTGCTCTACAAACGGCAGCTGCTAATCTCTAGACACTGCTCTTGTCACTTAGCTGGTCATTCTCTTGAGCAGCTTAAAGCTCCATATGTCACATTAACATGGAAAAGTCAGGTTACTAAGGACGCTACATAAATAAATAATTGTGGCGTTCCTTTGATGAGGGGTGACTTTGAGATGGACAGCTGTCAAAGAAATCCTAGAAATCCTTTTGGTCATAATTGAACTTCAGATGACCTCGTGAGGAAAGTGGATCAGGTGAAATCGAGTTAGGGTGAGCGGTAGCCCAAAGGACAAAGGGAGGTCTGCTCTAGTCCGTGGCAGCAGCTGTGGCGTTTTGCCTGCGTAACTTCAGCACACATCCTATTGGTGGTTATGTGTGGCACTTTATTAGCCCTGCCACCTCAGTCAGTTTCAAATAGTGTAGCTATTGATACCACTATAGCTAATCACATCAGCAGCACCACCACGAGGTTTGTATCAGGTTCTACAATGAACCTACTTGTCTGTTTTCTCACCTCTCTAGTTTGCATGAAGCGGCTATTGCTCGGAACCATTGGCATGTAAAATTGAATTTGTGCTGGGTGCTAGCGTTACACTTGTTAGCTGAATGGCTTATGGTTGATTTCGAGTCTTCCACTGCCTGACAGAAATAGCAACTTGAGTTTTGTCTAGATTTGGGCTGCGTCTATTGTTTCTGGGAAGCTTTCCCATTTATGTAGGAGGACTTGGACCCTCACTGCCGGATAATGTGTTTTTGTGGGAGAGAGCATTGTGTGTGAGTGTCTTATGAGTTTCTGCATGTCACCATATGTTTGTACAGCAGTTTGTTTTGTTTGTGTGTGTGTGTGTGTGTGTGTGTGTGTGTGTGTGTGTGTGTGTGTGTGTGTGCGTAATTCACTGTGAGATTCTGTGCACTCTGCCACCCTGCGCTGGAGGGGTGTTTGTGCAAACGGCGCCAGTGTTTGCACAGGGCTGTCACGATGACTGGGCTCGCTGGCTGGGACACTGCTCATCTGAAATGATGACAGACCGGAGTGCTCTTACAGCTCCGTCTGGAGCTATAAGAGCTCTCATCACGGACGGCCACAGGGAAAACAGATAAACGATGCATTGCAAGGAAAAGAATATGAAAACCCATTTGATGTGTCGGTTGGAGGTCATTTGTGTGTTATCTTATGTAGGGCCGTCTTAGCACATCAGTGAGAGCAAGATGTAGAATTTTTCTAGATAATTTGCACAAATAAACATTATGATAAGGTCTGATCTGTGACAATGGTCTTAGTGTATATCATGCTAGGCTTTATCCATCTGGTCATTCTTTCATCATCAAGTAGGCAATATTTGTCTAAGGACTATGGCTACATATCAACGTGGTGCATTGATGACACAAATAATTAGCATGTCAGCATTTAAAAAATGTTAATACACTTACCCAGAGTGCATTCCTTTGTAAGTCAGACACCAAAAATGATCACTTATTTTAGCTTATTGTTTCTACTCTTTGCCAATGGGGACTGGCCCTTTTGTGGAAATGAGGGTAAGGGCGGAGCCACCCAGTGGGGTTTGACCAGGCTCAGGTGTCATAGACCTGCCATTTGTTTTCAGGCCATTAACTCAGAATAGCGAGCAGTATGGTGCCACTCGGCGGGACGGCTGTCCATAAGGCACTTTTTCACAGGCAGTGATGGAGTACTCATTGTTGCAGCGTCATAGTACATCTCACTGTCACAAACCATTCTTCCACACACATTATTGTCACTGAAAGTTACCTGTTAATTTAAATCATCACTGTATTTTTTGTCCATATTACCGGGGCACTCAATCTTATAATAATACGGTGGATTTAGGGATCAACGTTTGGAACTAATTTAAACAAGTCTGATCTCTCTATTGGTGATGGCATAATTATCGACATAATATCTAGGCTCTTCTGAGGCTTAGCTGTAGTATATATTTTACACTGGTCCCTGGCATTGACGCAAGTGAAATGCAGACTTTTTATGACCATTCATGACATTGTGAGCAAGAGGCTGCAAAGTGCTATAATGACTCAGTGGTAATCTGTGATTGGCGACAGTGGCACTGGGGTTAATGTAGCGGAACCTTATCTCCGCCTCCCGTGCCCACTAACCCCCTCCCCCCTAGTGTGGTCCCATCCTCCCAACCGGCTCTCTGTCACGCTTGACTCACCAGGGGGTGACTTTTGAGTGACAGGTGGAAGGCGGACCGCGATTGGCTGGCACAGGAGAGTGGCTGTGGGTGTTCGAGCACAGACAGCCAATGGCGCAGTCTCAGCACAGTTAGCTGAACAACAGCTCTCCAGCAGTGATAGAGAGTTTCCGTGTGTGAGTGTGTGTTGTCTGACACAGAAGGAGAGAGTGAAAAACACAAGAAAAAAGTACTTGGATAATATGAGAAGAGGCCAAACAGAATGAGACTTACGGGATTCTCTGAGGTGAGATCTGTGTTTCTACGTCTTGGCTGCTCTCTTTTGTTGTTTAAACTGGTTTCATTCACTGGTTTCTGTGATTTAGTTGTTTTTTTCTCGTCTTAGGTCAGTAAAGTCTATGTTGAGGGATTTTGTTTTCAGGGGAGAGTATTATTGGGGTTTCAGTCAGGATGCAACACATGTTTGAACTGTTGGCTAAGTTTTCCTTGGCGTCTCTGTTTATGGATAAACTGTTGTGTTTGAGTATGATTTGTAACCAGATGCACACAATTTCTCTGAAGTAAATGTGCTTAAATGTTCCTAGAGGGATTTAATGCAATTCTCTGTTCTACTCCTTTAAAACTGCCCACATCATCCCCCCCAGTTTTCCTTGTTGTAATGTGTCCATGGGTTTTCTCCTTCTGTCTCTTTATAGTTGACCACAGCTGCAAGGGCTGCACGGGTGTGAGTGAGTGGCCTGACTGGACCTTTTCTCCATCCCTTAATCCTGCAATCTATCCATCCCATCTCTTGTCGTCCCGGCAACATGCTGATCCAGTGGCTTGCTTGGTTGGCCCTGCTGTCTCTGGACTGGGCTCCAGGCAGCTGGGCCTTCATCACCACCAGGGCTCAGGGCCTGAGGGGTCGCATCCAGAGAGACCGCAGAAACATCCGGCCCAACATTATCCTCATCATGACTGATGACCAGGATGTTGAGTTGGGTAAGGTTGGCACACTTCCTGGTCTTCTTGGAATTCTACAGCCCAGTTAACTTTTCGTTTGGGTCCTATTTTTTTCCTTACATAAAAAAACCCCACTGTAATTTCTATTTCTTTGTCTTTGTGGGTATTTAGATCAGGATTTATGTTGTCTTTCGCCACACATTAAATATTAAATAGAGGCCATAAGCCAGAGCTGAATGGCCATCTGGCCCATTAACTACTAGAGAATTCAGTAAGAAAAGCTCAAGTGATCTTAATTGATTGAACTGTGTTTATCTGTATGAAAATAAATTAAATATCATTGCATCTTTGTTGAAAAAAAGTTTTGACACAACCTATATTTCATAGTATTAACAATGGATTTAACAAAATTAAGATTTCAGCGACACTACAGCACTCGGTACTGACCTCCATGCCTTGTCCTCCAGGCTCTCTACAGGTGATGAATAAAACCCGGAAGATCATGGAAGATGGAGGCACAAGTTTCACTAATGCCTTTGTCACCACACCCATGTGCTGCCCGTCACGGTCCTCCATGTTGACGGGCAAGTACGTGCACAACCACAACACCTACACCAACAATGAGAACTGCTCGTCCCCTTCCTGGCAAGCTCAGCACGAGCCACGCTCATTCGCTGTCTATCTCAACAACACCGGCTACAGGACAGGTTGGTGAACAAAGAAACGCACTCATAGATATATGGGCACGTCTCTGTATACAATAGTCAGCGTCACAGGCCTGCTGCATGTCCACCAAAGACCTCTAAATGCAGTGCTGGTGCTGTTATCCCGTTGTTTAATATGGAAAAGTGTCATTTTTCAGGTTATGAGGTTACTATCTCACTTTTTGGCCCATATACTGTCAATCACGACCAGCTCAAATGTCATCCTGGCCCCTCTATATTCACTCAATGATTTTTTTTTTTTTTTTTTTTACTGTAAGCTAGACTCCACAGCCCTGCCTGGCTTTGTCTGCTGTGAGAAATGCAAACATGGTGAGCGTGCCAAGTCGCTGTCATGTCTCATCAGACGTTGTCCGTGTGAGTGATGGGCAGGCGTTGGACTGGGCAGCTCAGTGCGGTTCTGTGGGCTGCAGCACGGCCTGCGGTTTTCAAAATGATGCGTTAGTCTGCAATTAGCCTTCTCTGGGACAGGCTGGCTCCAAGCCCAGAGGAAAAAAGAGACAAGCAAAAAAGTTATGCGTCACATACTCACACACACAGATAAAGTCACACAGATGCACAGGATTTAGATTTTCACAGGTACAGGCATAAGCAAACAAAGAAAACGTGCAAATGACAAGAAACCCTCCTTTTTCTCTCATGCAGGCTTCTTCGGCAAGTACCTCAATGAGTACAATGGCAGCTACATCCCACCTGGGTGGCGTGAATGGGTTGGATTGATAAAAAATTCCCGCTTCTATAATTACACTGTCTGTCGGAATGGTTACAAGGAGAAACATGGTGCCGATTATGCCAAGGTATGTGTTCCCATAATTTCTAAAAAGGGACCGTTAACTCAATCACTCATTTGTTTTCCCTTTATGACCTAATCTAAAGACTTCACCTGACAAATTGCAGGTTCTACTCAGACACTGAAGCACTTCACTTATCATGGTGTTGTGATCCAGGCTGACAGGAATTTTCATTTGAGAATTAAAGGGAATGAGCCGACTTGAGGTGGCGTCTCCTCTTTCTGCAGCATCCTTTTATTATGGCACCATACCTCAGCATTTAGACCCTGTAAAATTGAAGCATATTTATGAGAAGCCAACATTGCCTGTGATAAATACAAGCCTGCCCTTGTTTTTGTCTCTCTTTCTGTCTGCCTTTTTAGTCTTCTTTTTGTCTCACTAAGACATTTTTCAGAATGATTTTGTGCTATAATACCACAATAAAAAAAACGAAGAAATTTCACTTGACCACTGGCAGACTCTAGATATGAACACTGTTACACTGTCTTTTTGTGGCTCTGGATTGCATCGTTCATCAATCTTCCCCAAATGTTTTTGTAAGAGCTGTCAGTTTGTTTTCGCAGCCCTATGCCAATATCTTCCCAGGTAGCGTAGGCCTGGGTACCCGAGGAATCCATGAGGAGGGTTTATAGTTTGGATACATGTCCAGTTTCAAAATCCCTGCCCAAAAGATGGGCAAACAAATGTTTGGACTGCTACTTCTCTGCCAACTTGGACTGAGGTGTAAAGTTACCCACAAGCTGAGGCCAAGGTGTTTACATGACATGGGCTTGGTCAGCAGATTGTGGTTTAAAACCAAATGGACACACTATTTGCTATTTACTGCCAAAACCCATTAACCTGCTACCTCTGGGACAAACACAAGTCCTCTTTTTAGATTCACACAGGGTGAGAAGGTCATGGTACATAGAGCGCAGCTGGCACACAGAGTCATTGTGATTAGATGAGGCACTTGCCCAGTGATTTCATTCATTTTGGTCCCATTTGATTTTCCATCTGTAGGAGGATGAGTTCATTGAGGTTGAGGCCTTTTGTGAAAGACCTTTTGTGTGAGGTTTTAGTTTGAGAATATGATTCATACACTTTCTTCAAATTCCATGACAGAAGACAATGTCATGAAGACTCAAAGCAGCCAGATGTGATATCCTGGTGTCGTCAGTGCTAACAGAAATTTTCCATGGATGAGAGCTTGAAATTAATAGACAACTCCTCATCTACAAAGCCACAACGCCCTGCTGCATTTACAGTCAAACCACATACATTGTTATAAAACTTAAAATGTCAATTCAAATATATGAAAATCATTGGGAAATTTACCCATGTGTGGAAGAGTTTTAATTACATGACTGCCACTTAGTACTAATCATCTCCAAAGGGTTCTGGGAAAAGTGATACTCTTCACTTCCATGACCATTTTAATAGCTGTTGGCCAGGCACTCCACATGACACTGTCACTTCCCTTTGACCTGCCAGAGCCCTTAGCTGCCGTGGCTCAGATTTTGGAGGGCTGGTAACACAGATAAATCAAATATGGCAATATTGCCATGTGCACGCAATCACCATCCTCCATGGGCATGTGCAGCCGCCAGGCCATTAAAGCTGGCCTGCCTATAAAGCCTATTAATAGAGAAAGGATGAATCAGCCAAACCCACTTCTGACATTTCAGGGAAATCACCCTTTAGCCTTTTATTCTGAACCTGGCACTCCCTTCCGCATGTTGTATGCCAAACAGTTGCATGCCAAAACTGCAGGTAGAATGGTTAATCTACTGTTAGAAACTTGGCAAATGCTGTTGTGATTTCAGTTCAGGGTGTGACCTACCGTACATTTAAAAGAGAGGCTCCACCATGCCTGGAATAAAGGTTTTGATAAAATGTTACGTCTGTGGGTTTTTTGATTTGACAATTTCATATTTCCTGATTCTAAGCTCTTTACAGTAAGTGACACGTTCATTCATTCAGTTGCCCTCTCTTTGCCTGTACCGCAGTGTAAAATGTGAAAAACAGAGTTTAGGTCTTAGGGAACTTTTGTCTTTCCCATCTCCTGTACACAACCCAGCCCTTTTCCCTGGTTCTGTTTTGTGTGTTCCATTATTTCTCAGAGTGAATCAGTGAGAAGGAAAGAAAACACATGTTAAGAGAAACAGGATAGAATAAAATTAAGCTAAATAGGAGAAAGAGAATGGATGGTCTGGAGAGGAGTAGAGGGTGGGAACTGTCATAACAACATACCATTTGAGAGCGCTAGGCTCCTCTCACCATCAAGCGTTGTCACATTCAATAGTGGAGCGATTCACTGATGAGGCAACAGCCCATATACTGTATACACATACACACACAGACTGAAGCGCATGCTCACATTTCCACACGCACACACACACATGCACTGGCAAGCTGCCAGCTGTTGACTCGACAGATTGGTAGTGTAGTGTACTCAATGGCCCCAGTTCATATCCCCACTGGCCCCTCTCCATTCAGTTGAAAATGACTGGATGAGGGAAAGCAACATGGTGATTGGACTGCAAACGAGTTTTATCAAAGCTCAAATTGTTTTGCATTCCACCCCCAATTCCACCTTCTCGAGATGGGATTTTTAGCCCTGCAGCACCTAATAATTTTTGTTTATTGGTGGTATTTGCTCTATTTTCCAGGACTACTTCACAGATCTGATCACCAACGACAGCATCAACTTTTTCCGCATGTCCAAACGGATGTACCCTCACCGTCCTGTGATGATGGTTATCAGTCATGCTGCTCCTCATGGCCCAGAGGACTCCGCACCGCAGTACGCTGAGCACTTCCCGAATGCTTCGCAGCACATGTAAGTTACACTCACTCACATTATCACACACGCGCAAACGCATACACTCATCCGAGTTCCTACACAGGACTTTTAACCCTTTAAAATAATGGAAAATGAATGTGGGGCCCATATTTAGGGATTATATACGCAGTCATTACAGCAGCTTTCCTCTACCATCGTATAGAATGTTTCTTGTTAACATCCAATTTGAGTTTTTATGACTTAGTGTACCTAAAATTATTACAGTGCTCACGCCCCTCAATCCCCAGTGATGACAGGTTGCTTAGAAGCTGCTAGGGTCAACGACTCGGCAGCCGTAAAATCAAAATGATTTATCATCCAAGAATAGCTGGGACACAGACCATCAAGAAGATCAGGCATGGCTTTTTTACGGAGCACTGTCCTCATGCCAAGGCCACATTGGCCTCCCACAACTCTCACCCCTGGGTTGAGGCAGCGCTGCAATACTCAGGGTTGCTCCATGGCAACATGCCTTGCCATCTCTTGACAGGCCCTCTAACAGCCTCCCAGAATACACTACTCCACTGGGTAGGGGGAGGGATGATATTTTAGAGATGTTGGGTTCAAGGCTGCAAGCCTTTCCTTTCACTTTCTGTCCACTTAACATTCCCCTCAGTCTGTTTGCCCTACCGCTCTGTCGCTATATCTGTATATCTCTGTTTGCGTCTGTCTCTCTATTTATCTCTCCCTCGGTGTCTCCCAGTGTCTTGTCTCATTTTCCCATCCCTTCAGCGCTCTACCCACCCTTCCCTACCCTCCTGTGACGGACTTCCTGATCCTGTCCATGTCAATCAGTAGCTTCTCCCCGCAGCTCTTGGGACGAGAGGAATGCATTGTGTGCTTCGGAGCACCCTTTGTGACATTATTCATTTATTTTTAGTTCAAGCCTCTTGGTGAAGGGGGTGGGGCTGGGGCCCGTGGGTGACTAAAGGGGTTGCCCCAGTGATTGTGTGTAGGTGCAGTGTGTGTGGAATATATGATGTGGTTACTGTGGCAGCACAGGTGGTTGGTATGGGTGGGTGTTTTATTTTGGTGTTTGTCGACTACACACTTCCATAACAGAAAAACATTTTTTTCCCACTTGCGGATGTTGTGTTGATGTTGTCTGGTCTGCCACTTTCTGTCTTTGCAGCAGATGCAATGTACCTCTAATGCGTAACACATTGATTTGGGTAGAGAGTATGTGGCAGTAAAAGAGGAGCTGCCTCATAAATCATATGAGTGTCTGTACTTTTAACAGCAACAATAGTAGGGGAGAGTTTTAAGTTAAGTCATTAACATTCCTCACTGAAGGTGTTTTTACCCTGTCTCTTAGATGTAAGCCAAATTTATTTAAAACACTATAGATGTGGTGCAGTTTCTCAATGGCATGTCTCTCTAAATCAAGGAGTGAATGGAAGTTATTCTGGGCGTAGCTCAACAACTTGCTTTAGGGAATGTCTCTAATCCTCATGCGGGATGTGTCTATGTTAAGTTTTGTAAAGTCAAGAGGCATTGTGGGCTGAACAGTGGACCCTGGGTTGCTGTAATCCAGGACTAATACCACAAAACATGGACCTATATGTGACAGGTGGCAGGTGTGACCTCTCCTATGGACTGGCTTCATTCCACTGACCTCTGCATTCCTGGTTCCCTGGTGCCCAGGGCCTCATGCCTTGGTGGCCCATTGCCCAGAGACAGGTTCCTTTGTGGGGCTTATTAGACCGCCTGGCTAGGTGGGTGAAGAGTTCACCCTTTACACAAAGCAGGCCTGAGGAGACGAGAGCAGAAGGCAGCTCACTCAATCGGAGCAAAGCAGCTCCCATAGCAGGTCTTCATTATCTCTACTTTGTCCAGCTGCTGCTTATTCTGGGGTAGAAACCTGTCCATTTATAGTTTTCTAGGGGTGAATTGCTTACAGTAGAAGGTAAATTATTGTTTATTGTCACATTACATTCCAACACTACAAAGCTGATTTGGGGGCTAACTACATATGCTTGCAGTTTATTAATCATATATTATTGTGCTTTGAAATGCAGAAACTTTGCAGACACCAAGTCACCTTCATATATTAGTATATCTCCCTCATTTACTTTCCAGGTTATACCACAGACAGGTGAACAGCCTTTCTGAGTTATAACACCACAAACAAGACTGCTTCTCCCTCCTTCTTGCTCTTTATCCACTCTTGTGATTCCCCCCCTTTCCAGTGACCATGACTTATCGGGTTTATGGTCAAGAAGTTGTTGCAAACTTGACTTTGGGGCCTATTATTTTCTTAAGCATGTGCCAACCCTCAAATGACTTGTCTGTGCCAAGAGCGCAGTGGAGCAAGGAGACTCTCGTCTCTGTGTGAGGGGAGAGATGGTCGGAGAAAGGTGTGGAAAAACAGCTAAGGTGCTGGCTGCTGATTATTAAGACATTTCCTTCAACAAACAGAGCAGCTATTGATGCATTTCAAACACAGTGGACAACTGCGGCACCTGTTGCTGAGCAGTAGTTTGTGAAAAGTAGTAGACAGGTGTTTTTTGGCATCTTAAACGGAGTCTTCATAGCTGTTACGTGCTCTGATAACAGACATACAGAAATATTTTCTTACTTCTGTGCGACTACATCAGGCACACAGAATACATGTATGCTCTATCAGTGCTAAAGAGAGGCATTTTTTTTGACATGCCTGTCTCCTCTCTCCCTCCTTTGTGCCCTCCTAGCACTCCCAGCTACAACTATGCCCCAAATATGGACAAACACTGGATCATGCAGTACACAGGCCCCATGAGACCCATCCACATGGAGTTCACCAACTTCCTCCATCGTAAGAGGCTGCAGACACTCTTGTCTGTGGATGACTCAGTGCAGAAGGTAAGGTTTTTCAGGATTTTAATATCTGTTCCTCTGAGTGATGTAGTTACTGTCCTGGTAGTACACTGTCTGTCTTGTCACGTCACTCATTTTGCTTCACAGGTTTATGACATGCTAGAGCAAACTGGAGAGCTGGACAACACTTACATCATCTATACAGCAGACCATGGCTACCACATTGGTCAGTTTGGATTGGTCAAGGGCAAGTCAATGCCTTATGATTTTGACATCCATGTGCCGTTCTTCCTTAGAGGACCCAACGTAGAGCCAGGAGCAGTGTAAGTCCAAACAACAACAAAAATCAATATTAGTTTCTTTGCTTACAAATTGCATTGTCCCCATACTGTGTGTACCATGATGTTCTTTCTCTCACGTTTGTTTAGGTTCCTTGGTTTTGTTAGTTAGTATCACTGTATGCATTTCAGAAGATTAAGTAAACTTTATGTGTATGTGCTTCTTCAGAAACCCTCATCTGGTGCTGAACATTGACCTAGCTCCCACGATCCTCCACATTGCTGGCCTGGACACCCCTCCAGACATGGATGGAAAGTCCATCCTTAAGCTGCTGGAACAGGAAAGGACTGGCAATAGGTCTGTATGGATCTGTCATGCCATGCTGTAATGGATATTATGTACAGTAATTGCACAGTGTGCATGATATGTGCAACAGTCCTATTCATTTGACAGTATTGAGCAAATGCACATTTCTTTAGCCAAAATAATTGCTTTTACTCTAGCTGAGCACAAAGTGAGTTCAGGGCAATTTGGTGGATTTTCCTTGGCTGTGGGACTGGGACTCACTGAGGTTCTTCTTATGAAGTTTCCTGTAGAATTTGTTTGCAAGTTGAATCATTTGTTTCCCCAGCAAAACCCAACTGCACAATTGTTGTCCTTAACTTGGCATTAAAAAAAGCACCAACAGAAACTGTTGATATACTGTATCTGCACTATTGGGGGGGGGGGGAATCTGTCACATTGGAAAACATCTCCAGAGGAACAGAAAGAACTGGGACAATTGATTTAATGCTCAAAGAACATTTACACCATTCCTTTGAACCCACAAGGTCTTGAGCTCGCTATGATGAAGATAATGTTGGCTAGCTGCATGCCCGACATGCTGTAGCTGATGGTGAGTGCTTAGGGCATATGAATTCTATAAACTTTTTTCGTTTTGTTTCCCCAGATTCAAACCCAACCGGAAACCCAAAGTCTGGAGGGACACATTCCTGGTGGAGCGAGGGTAAACTGGGGTTCTTTATTCCCTTTCCACACCACAGACACATCCATGTCATTGCAGAGCATTGTCTGTCACACAAACCTGACAAAACATTTCAATGAACCCGAAATGTGCAAGGCTCAAAGCACGCTCCCTCTTCCAGCAACACAGCCGCCTTTCCCAGTTATTTGTTATCTGACAGACATTTCCTGACCACACTTGGCTTGGAAGGCGGTGGAAGAGGTTGAAATATTCCAAGTTGTTTGGTAAAGCTATAAGCGGCTGGCCAATTATGACGGTTCACGTAAGAGGCGCTGACACATGTGTAACCAGGTCATTTGATCATTTACAAGAAAAACAAGCAGAGTCTTTGTCTTCCGAAGGGGCCTTTCATATATTGAGCACATGATCTGGGCTCGAAACCTGACTTAGTTTGCTGTTCATGCGTTGGCAGAGACGGATGGAAGATACATTTCAGTAACATGGTAGAGCGAGTCACACGCAAAATAAACAAAGGCTAGCCAGGCTCAGGATGATGTTACCTGACAAATGGCTACAAGGCTCACACTCAAGTCACCAGCTCCCCCAGTGTGGAATGCAGCAGCCACTCTCTATAGCCAACGCTTGACTGTTTCCCCAAGACTGTTTTCTTTGTAGTGCACGCGATCGCATACAGTATGTGCTCTCTCACAAACCCTGTCAGGTCTTTATTTAACCTTTCCTCTGCTGCCAGATATATGTTGTAGAAGATGATGCCTCCAATATGACAGCCTGCTTTTGTTCACTTAACATGTTAAGCTGTGGTAATGCCAGGGGTACACTGACAGAAGCCTGACAACTTGGAGAGAAATAATCCCACCAAGCTTGTTTTTACATGATACAGGTACCCAAGGGAGGAAAAAAAAGGAAGAAAGACATATGGGCATCCAAACGAAGGGGGAGGGAGCCGTAACAGTGGTTGAGGCCAGATTGTGCTGGCAGCATGTGTAATGATACTGTATATTACAGTATGTCATGTTCTCCCATACAGCTGCTGTTATTCCCCCCACTATCATTTCCTCACAATCCCTATTTTTTTTCCAAATCGCTGGCTTGGCCGTCCCATCTCCTTTCCACTTATTTGTGCAGATGTTGACGCAGTCGCTGGCAAAAGAGCAGACATATGCAAGAGTATAAAAGAAGCATTAGTTGGCTCTGCTACCACACAATACAGGTCGGTATCCTGCTAGTGTATGTTTGTCTGGTCTACAGACTGCTTCCTATGAAATAAAAATACTGTGACCTTTGACCAGCAGGGGCTTTAGCTCTTTCAATCCATTGCTCCATTAATCCACACTTTTTATGAAAGCTGTCAGCTTGTGCGCTTGTCTTTAAATGCTGAGGTTAGCCTCCACAGACATCTCACTCTTGTTACTCAGGCGCAGATGTAGAAGCACATACACAGTAGCTAACGTTTTTTTGTACCATTCTCTCGCTGGTCATGTGATATGCTCTATGATTTAATATCCTCACATGACCTTACAGTACTGTACCTCTAAGCCCGTGAAATTCGGACTGACAGCTGGGACTGACTGTGTTGTTTGACAATCCAATCATCTACGTAATGTAGTCGTCAGGGAGTGACACCCACAACAACTGTTAGCTCTTTAATCGCCCTTGGCTAAAGGCCGGAGACTATAGCCAAGCCCAGTGTGTGAACATTGGCTATTTTCTCCTTGGACAGAGTGCTAGACGGGATCGGACAAGACAACGGCCCTGCTCTCAAAGGGGTAAAGGTTGTTCTGTGCTTCGTTGTCGCCATCATTCGGTTGGCTGGTCGCGAGCTGCCAGGGCATGTTGGCAGAGAGCTGGGGACAGAGCGAGTGACAGGGTTTGGCACTGCTTTAGCAGAGATGCAGCCAGCCCTTGTGGTGGTGGCAGAGGAAAAGGGAGCAGGGCAATTGAGCGTGATGCCAAGCCAAGGTCAAAAAGCTTGACCTGAAGCTGAACACTGGAGTGAGGCTGAGCTGAGCTCCATACCCAGACCCTCTGGCAAACTTACAGATGCTGTATAACTTCATTCAACCCATTCACTGACTGTGACAGAAAGTGAAAAACAGGAAACGTAAACTGAATAAAACTTAAATTCAGCTCACTTAAGTTCAGTAATATCTTAATAGTTTAACAGTGTATTGACTCCTTGAAAAAGTCTGTTGATTCTAATTTTCCTCTTAATTCTGTTTACGTGCAGAAAAATCCTGAGAAAGAAGGATGATTCAGTGAACACTCAGCACACCAACAGCCTGCCCAAGTACAAGAAGGTCAAAGAGACCTGCCAGCAGGCCGAATTCCAGACACCCTGCGAACAGCCTGGACAGGTAAAACAAACACACCCATGTGCACACAAGTATACAGCTTATTTCTGCAATGTTTTGTGAGTAGAAATTAGTTCCTCTGTTATCCACTAAGGAAAGTATCTTCAGCACTTTTCTAACAGTAAGAAGTAAAACTCTTAAAGTGACCTCCATTGCTGCCTGTTGAATTATTCCACAGACCCACAAGTGAAATAGCCATTTACAGAACATAAGTTGGTTCATAATTGGACCCTTTTGCACTATTATGTGGTGCATTAATTTGTTGGTACTTCTCTTTCATCTGTGCCCATTAATTTTCTGGCAGACCAACAGCCAAGTGCTACAGTATGTGGCCTTGGAGCACACAGACCAGAACAATACAAATTGCTACAAGTTTCAGGTAGCGTTAAATGACAGGCAGAGTTTCTGAGGGGCTGACTAATGCAATCCAGATCCAGTTTATGGTCACATAAATGTGTGTATGTAACAATCAGTTATTAAAGCCAGCAATGGAGCAATTCTAGTTAAGCTCAGCAGTGTGTGTTGTGTCACGTGAATGCATGTGAGTGTGTGTACAGAGAGTATGTGTGTGTGCGCACCTGTAATAGTGTGCAAAAGATGTGTAAAATGTGTCTTGTAGCTGTAATCATCTACAGTATGCATCATAATAAGTAGCTGCATAGCACGAAGAATAAGATTTGGTTATAAATGGCCTGTCTGGCATGATTTAACACAGCTTCCCAGTAAGCAGCCTGAGAGCGTGAGTGTTTTTTACTAAATTACAGGGGAAATGGTGCTTACACGCAGCAGGCCAGTGCTTCATCTCTGCTCTTCATTTTGTTCTAATCTCTCTTGTTCCAGCTCCTCCACTTCTGTTGTTCACATGCACACAGGAAAAGCCTTATAAAAAGAGCATGGATCAATATCAGGATAAATATTTTATGTCTTTAAATGCCATCTAACCACCACAGTGTCGCAGACTAAAAAATAAAAAACTTGGCTAGAACTGAAGCATTGTACTGAAAAAGTTAAAGGGATCTTCAACAAGGACATTAAACCTCAGTCTTGAACCTGATTTTGGTTGGAATAAGAGTCGTTTTGTTTTTGAAAAGCCTTAAACGTTACTGCCTTTTCAACCTGACCGCATGATCTTGGTTCAGACAGACCAGATTTTTCTAATAGCGCAGCCTCTGTTGTGTTTTTTTTTTTTCACAGAGCTGTTGCGGCCCTCTTACATTCGATCATGTGATAATGTATGGGTTTGTTGTGGGTATGCCGGATTTACCAAGGACGTAGAGAAACCTTTGTTACTGTATGTTTCTGCGGGTAGATGACAGTGTGAGTGACTTGTGGTACTTTGGGTTTTCCACTTACTGCTCATTTTTCAGCTTACATGGTCATCCACGTCTGGTCCTAACCTCCCCCTCCCCTCATCCCTTCCTCCCCCTAAGTTTCTCTACCATCTCTGCTGTCCCTGCTGCTGCAAGTGCCTTTAAAGTACTCACAGGAGGGAGGGCGAGGGAGAAGGATAAAGAAATCCCTGAGTGACTATACATCTCTCTCGCTCTCCCTCGCGTCTTGTCTGCTGCTGATATAACTGCTCTGTTAGGGCCCGTAAGCTCTCCGTCACTATTTGAGCCATCCAAAAGAAACCTGATCTGCCTTATGGCCCTTTGTGTGGACTCTCGTTCCCACACTCCCCGCTGATCATCTGCACTGCGCTCTGCAGATGTGTCTCTTCCATTTATGCGAGGCCTAACCAGCAGTACAACTCACAGCAATTAGCCTCAACTTTCTTTTCCTAGTGAGAATAGACGTTGAGAAAGACATGGAGGATGCAAGTGAATGCATGGAAATGTATTTACACAATTGCACTGGTGATGCACTTGGCACAGACATACCCAGCGTGAGAGTGATGGGGGTTTCCACTTTTTTTCGAAACATCAGACAGACCCAGTACATCTCACGTGGCTGTTTTGGTTTATCTTTCCTGCTGCTTTTAGATGCCATTATATCTTAAATCTCTCCACAGGCTGAGATTTGAGATATATCTATCAAAAACACGTGTTTCTTAAGGAGTTTCACAGATCACAGCAAAGCAGAGGCTCTACCTGAGATTAGGTTTTTAATATTGTTGACATCTATAGAGCTTATTAGCTATGCCAGACAGAAGAATCTGTCCATTGCTAAAGTAAAATGGAAATTTAGATCAAGGACACTTTGGTTTGTTCTGATTTCTAGGAATCTACACACAAAAAATAAGTTAGGAGATAGAAAGCTCGGAAGAAGTCACGATGGAACATTATTTCTCCCAGTTTACTTCTGCTTTTGTTGTTTTTGACAGAAGTGGCATTGTGTGGAGGAGCTCAAGGGCAAGTGGAGGATACAGAAGTGTAAAGGTGGTTCAAAAGAAAGCTCCAGGAAGAGGGCCCGCAGCCTGAGGCCCCGCAGCAGTTATGACAACAGAGAGAGGGGCTGTGACTGCGGAGACGGTGTCTTCAGATCCCCCAGAACGGACCGCCGCTCCCACCGACAGTTCTCTTCCTCATCAGGCCAACGTGAGTCTACAAGAATCTGTGATTTCTTCATCTAATACTGTATAAGAAGATAAAAATCATTTAAAGTGATGAAGGACTAGATATGTGTAGGGTTGTTTCAACTCAACAGTAGAGGATCTGGCATGGGCCAAACTGCTTCATTTAACAACCAGGCTTTGGTTTAACTTATATAACCTTGTACTGACGTCTGTCTCTCAATGCCAGTTGGAGAAAAGAAGTCTGCAAAGTCTCAAGACTTGATTTCCTGAAATGGATTATTTATGCTCTAAAGGAAGACAGATGCATGGAAAAGGCAAACATCCTGCAATAAGTCCTGCAATTTGTTCTGTGGAAGTTGCCGTGTGTGTGTGTGTGTGTGTGTGTGTGTGTGTGTGTGTGTAATGATGGGATTGTGGTTTCGTATGGTTTAATGCCCTCTAGTGTTGCTTAGAAAAGATGCAACTAAAGTATGATCGGTTAGACCTTGGGGTTTAAAAAACTGAATTAAGGAGTTATCGTCAATCAAAAGTATGCTAAATTAGTAAAATGGGTGCATAAAAGCATTGCTTGACTCAACTTATTAAGAATGTATTTATTTTTATAGGTTATCGGCCACGTTTTGTCCACACCCGGTCGACCAGGTCTCTGTCTGTGGAGTTTGAAGGTCACATATACGACGTTGATCTTCAAGCAGATGATCAGTCAGCTGTCCGCCGCCGCGTCATCTCAAAGCGCCACCACAACCCAGAGGACCCAGAGTTTGATTTGGGATCAGATGATGGTTCAGAGGAAATGCTGGCCGATGATACCAATGCAGTGGGATACGCAAACTCTGTGAAGGTTACCCACAAGTAAGAAGGCAGCCTCCCTTAATCTTTAAAGCATGTCTCAATAATGACTTCACTTCTCACATGCATGTAAAAAGAGCAGTGTATGATGTTAGGGGTTTCTTTGCATCTGTTTCAGGTGTTTTATTTTGATGAATGACAGCGTCCATTGTGAAAGAGAAATCTACCAGTCCTCCAGAGCCTGGAAAGACCATAAGAGCTATGTGGACCAGGAGGTGAGTGTACAAAGCTCAGACAATAAGCCTGGCACTCTCTTACACACACATCTTTCTCCATGTTACTAATTGTCAGTGGTCAAGGATCTGGCATAACAGATTAGAGATAATTGAAAGTATTTCTTTCTTACGTCATTCCAGATTGAAGCACTTCAAGACAAAATCAAAAACCTCCGCGAAGTAAGAGGCCATCTCAAGAGGACGCGGCCAGACGAGTGCGACTGTGGGAAGAAGAGGTTAGTTGTTTAAATTTCACCTTAAAAAATACGTTTAGACTCTATAAGACTCTATTACTGGTTTGAGGCCTTATGCGAAACCTTATTGTAGTCCACGCCTGAAAAGTTTTCTGTCTGGTCCTTAGTCTCTTTCTCTGTTTATAAAACCAGCTATTATAGCAAAGGAGACAGAAACAAGGCAGAGAGATTGAAGAGCAGGAATGATCAACTCCATCCATTTAAGTGAGTTTCTCCTCCCCTTTAATTGTGGGTTTGCCCCATTTAGAGTCACCCCTCTGCTTGTTAATGAATACTGACATTGACTTGCAACTGATCAAGTGTGAAAATACTGTATGGTATTGTGCTGTTGCTGAATATCTGCACGGTCACTGCATGTCCAGTTTAAACATAAAACTCACCTTCATTTAGATGACTTAGTAGACCCCATATGACCAGTCCAGTGTGTGTGTGTGTTATATGTGGACTATGATGTGTTGAAGATGTTTGTGGCCCTAATACACAAATAAGTTTCTAAAGGAAGCATGTTACCTAGAAACATTCATTCAGTGTTTGATGCCTGAATGTAGTTTTAATGACAAAACAGATGAATGGTCAGGGACCTATTTTGTGTGTTTGTGTCTCTGGAAGTGATTGAGTTGCATGGAAAGAGAAAATGACTCAAAAGAGGGGAAACCAGTCAATTCCTCAAACACAGTGATCAACTTGCACCAGGAAACATTGGGAACAGATTATGCCAATACAAAGCAGCTGTTTTTTGGTTGTTTTTTTTTTGCAGTGCCTGTTTTGTGTTCAGGCAGGGAGGAAGAGGGGACAGTGGCTAGAATGTCATCCCAGAGAAAATTGGACGTAGTGAGAGCTTAAACATAAAAGTAAACAGAGTGTCACATCCTGGCAATCGGCGGTGCCTTCTGGAAGTCCCCTCCAGATCCTCCGCCACTGCGGTTACCGGCATTAGAGAGGGTAGGGGCTGATGTCATCTTTGCATCGTGCTGTTTTCTAATTCTCTCCTGTTTCTGTCCGACAGGGAGGCTGCGCAGGAAATAGACGGGAAGACCCAGTTGTACAATGAGATCCGGAGGAAGAAGAAGGAAAGGAAGGAGAAGAAGCGGCAGAGGAAGGGCGACGACTGCAGCCTGCCCGGCCTTACTTGCTTCACACACAACAATGACCACTGGCAGACTGCACCCCTCTGGTCGTGTATGTATATCGACATTGTTGATTGTTTAATCAATCAAAATAACACAAGTCAACTTTATGACTTTATATAAATATGGTTAATGGTAAAATCTGTTAAGATATTCTTCAGTAGTTGCAGTAGAACTGATTCCAATGAATCTCTATTACTGTCCAGTGGGTGGATTCTGTGCATGCACCAGCTCCAACAACAACACCTACTGGTGCCTGAGAACCATCAACGAGACCCACAACACACTGTTCTGCGAGTTCTCTACTGGCTTTCTGGAGTACTTTGACCTCAACAGTGACCCGTACCAGGTGCGTGAACATCTGCCTACAGCCCCTCAGCTGTATCTCTTGAACCGTTTTCATTGGTCCCTGCATTAAAGAACTACTCATCTTGTTTGTTTCTATGTGTAAACAATGAACTGTGATTTAATCACGTGCTTTCTTTGGAGACGGATAAACATGCAAATACAGCATCATGACACTAAAACACAATTTCCGTTTCACCTGTGCAGCTGACCAATGCAGTGTATGCAGTGGATCGGGAGGTACTGAACGCGCTGCATGCCCAGCTGATGGAGTTGAGGAGTTGTCAAGGTTATAAGCAGTGTAACCCTCGCCCAAAGGGCTTGGATGCAGGTAAAAATGCTCCCTTTCAGCATGTTTATTGTTCCTATCTGCCTGTCCTAAAATGGATGGATATATGTTCTGTTACACTGGGATTAGTGGTAGTTGTTATGCCAACAGCGACTGAAGCAAATTTTGCTCACGGAACAACGAGAGTGAAGCGGACAGATGATTAAATTTGAAGTTGAGTTGAAAGTACACTGAAATAGTAATTGACTGGCTGTATAGTAATAGTGATGCTTCATAGATTTCAGTCTAGGCTTCTGCTGTGTTCCAGATCTGTTTCAGTCGCAGTGGTGTGTGTGTATATCTGCATGCTGCATGTGTTTGGGGATGATCCACCTAGTGACGTATGCGGAAATTTCAGGTGGAGGTCAAGGAATCATGACACACAGTCTTGCGTGTCTCCCTTGTTGATGTGTGTTCAGTGTTTTCTTCACGATAAGACACACACACACACACACACACACTCTCTCTCTCTCTCTCTCTCTCTCTCTCTCTCTCTCTCTCTCTCTCTCTCTCTCTCTCTCTCTCTCTCTCTCTCTCTCTCTCTCTCTCTCCCCTCCCCCCCCAGCCCAGGACCTTCCACTCTGCTGGAATATTATCCCTGTTTACATATACTCACTCCTAGCGGTTTAAATTATAGTATTATACAAAAAAAAGGCCATGTTACAGTTGGACGCCCTGGCCATCATCCCTTCTGTGACTCACTGAGTGTTGGAGATATTATTTGGAGGATGCTGTCATCACTGCAATTGAGGCTGTCATTTTATCTGAGCCTGTCATGCATCGCTGCTGTAATCAGCCACAATATGTTTCTTTTTACTACCGCCACATGGTCCGAGCGTCCTTGCAGAGCAGACGTCCCAGTGACAGAGGTGCCTAACAAGTAACGTCGTGATGACCAAGGCCTGCAGCGTTTGTGTGTGGCATGAGCTGGCTGCGTTGTTTATGTCCCCAGGATAAAAACTTAATGTCTGTAATTACCAGCTGGAGAGTTGAGCACTGGAGCGGCCAAGCTGCTCTGAGAAAACGGATTGTGTTTCAGTGCTGGCACGCTGGACTTGTCAAACACATGCCAACACATGTCACATAGCAGCCTAAAATCTCTTACTCGCACTGGCTGCCCTTGCTCGGGTATGACGCCATGACCATGAACCAATGAAATTGCTGTTGTGGTTACATCAAGTGATGTTTTTGTTGGAGGGATAGATTATTAAAATTTAACTGGTCCGGCGAAATGGATCTAGCAGTTACTTGTATCTATTTATGGAGGGTGACTTAACCGTCATTATCACCTAACTGGATAACCTTATGTATTTTGCTTTGAAGGGGAAACCCTGTTGAACTCTACACCTCACAAACCACTCAACTGGATAAATTCTCATCTCTCCATCCAGCCCAATAATATGATCTTTCAAACTCCTCCCGGTTTCCTTCAATTCAAATCCAAATCTCTTTTCTATTCATTCTGACCGTGCAATAATCGCATTTCTCCATAGGCAGTGGCAGCTGTGCATGAAGACATCTCCACTGTGAATGATCTATTTATTTCCCTCCCACATCTCCTTGAATTAAATCGTTAACAATCGATTGCTTTTATTTTTCTGATCAGGAGGTAAAGATGGAGGAAGCTATGAGCCACACAGGTATCCACTTTTTGTTTCTCTTCAGTGGCTTTTTTTCTTTAACATCTGCATGAGCCGAATTTGCCTCATTCCCACTAATAACATCCATCCATGGAGTGCTGGCACTCAATCTGTGGCTGCATGCTGGGGGCACGCTAACAAATCATAACAGATGATGTTTTTCTCTCATTAAAGCAGCTTCATTTGTTGTCACCTCTGTGCACACAATCGGTCTTCACTTTTATCTGCTGTGTTATGTCAGTCTGCAGTTAGCAGTTTGGATATTCTCTTCCACATATTTTCACACCTTTTGCTTGAGAGTGCAACATTTACAGCAGTATTAAAATCTAAACTCAAAGTTGATCCTTTTGTAGCTATTCTCATGATAGCATGGCTAAATAAGAAAGTAAAAGTCATGTAAGTGAGCTTCTGAATATGTGCTTCTACTTGAGACCCACCCAAGAAGAAAGTGCACGTGAATGACAATGCATGATACTGTACCACCACCACCACCACCCACATGCATCACATTGTACATGAAAGCTAAAAGGAGTAGTTTGACATTTTGGGGAATTATGCTTATTCGCTTTCTCACAGAGAGGCAGATGAGAAGATTGATACCTCTCTCACGTCTGTACGCTTGAATATGAAGCTTCAGCCAACAGCTAATTAGCTAGCTGTTTTCCCCCCTGCTTCTAAGCTAAGCTAACTGTCTCCTGTCTGTAGATTCATACATGCACTTAACAGACAGACACGAGTGTTATTAATCTTCTCAGAAATAAGTAAAACGTCAAACTATTTCCTTTAACATCACCCCGAATGCCATTTCAGCCATATCCACAAATAAACATCGTCACATTAGTGTTCCAGTATAACATTCCATTCAGATACCTCTCACATTTGCTCATGGCCATTAGCTTGTGGTAGAGTGGACACTTGAGTTGCTGTGACCTCTCTGTCCTCCCACTGACCTCTGCCTTTTTGACCTCTTTCTGGCACCTGCTTACCAGGCAACAGCAGCATCGAAAGTGGTCAAAGAGGAGACCAAGCCTCTCCTTCCTGTGAGTCCCTAAGCCTACATGTCAAACCATCTCTAGCTGCAAGTAGTTACAAGAAAGCCAGTCTCAAATGGAAAGCCAACCTAAAGATACTTCTTTTCCTCAGTTTTTACTTTCAGACTGAGCTAAACTCTGTTTTAGCCTTTTGCTGCGATATTCGTTAATTTACCTCTTTTTTTTTTTTCCTTTTTTTTTTGCTCATAGCATTTTGAATTCCTCTATTTGTTTCTTTTTGGGGGCTACACCATTCAGCAGCAAAGTGCATTGTCTTATTTTGTTTTCCCTGGGCATCTTCTTGTTTTGCTGATTACCTTTTTTTCGTTTCCTCAGCTTTTGAGTGCTTTTATTTCAGGTTGCCTCACTTTGCATTTCAACGCAGCCCAGGCCTATCATTAACTATGCCATTACGTTTTTCCTGTGCAGCTCAGTATCTTAGTCTATCATGATGGATCATTAAATATTTTTTTCTTTTCAGTCTGTCCTTCTTTATTGTGAATTTCTAAGACAGCATGTGTTTGCACTACTCATGGCTTGAGCTTAGTGTGGGTGCTGTGTTTTTTCTAGTTTATCTAATGCTGCTCTGAAGTGTGTGTGTGTGTGTGTTGCTTGGGGCTTCAAACCCCATGGAGCTGGCTGCTTTAGTGAGAGCCAGAGGCTGGGCATGACTGCATGGTGTCTGAGAAAACTTGAAAAGCGCTCCCTGTTCTTTCACATCCTTACAGTCGTCTGTTTCTTTCTTTCTGGCAGCACACAGCCAATATGGGACGGACGACAGGGTTAAGCTGCCCAACTTGACAGACGAGGAGGTGAACTGGCAGGGACTGGAGGATCTGTATAGCATAAACGAAAGCCTTTACGAATGTAGGCCTGACTACAGCCCCAGCCCAGACAACTGGGTCAACTTCCAGAAGGATGTAGATAATATGTTTGCACTGCTACACGTTTTTAACAAATTCAACCGAACCCAAGAGCTTGATGACTCCAGCCTGCCAGAGCTGGGCTCCGGGGCCGGGGGTGGAGGCCTTGAAGAGAGCAGTGGAGAAGAGTTGGCCTCAGCCAGCGACGTCTGGCCAGGCCTGGCCACAGGGATTCTCCTCACCACCCCCGCCCCCAGCAAAACACCGTTAGCACCACCCACACCCGGGCCAACACTGGAAAGGAAACTGCAATCTGTTGTCAACGACCTTCCTGAGAGGCTTATAGACAGACTTGGAGTGTCAGTTGTGTCAGCATCACCGGTGGCGCGATCGTCATCATCACCAGGTCCAAGAAGAGACAGAATTATCCTGCAGAGCGACATGTGGGCGCAGCAGCTGGAGGAAATGGAAGGAGAGACATTCAGCGGAAACGGACTGACAGAGCTGGAGACACGACACGGCAACCTGCTGCGCACTCACAACAGCCTGCAGGTCCAGCTGGAGCCGGGCCTGGACCGTGGAGAGGAAACCAGCCCTCATGGTCTTGGCCTGGACCTCGAAGAAGAGGAGGACATTTTCCAAGCCCAAGGCTACCTCCCTTTCTCCCCACAGACACTGAAGCCCAAGGTGCAGGCCAGCACCACCAGCAGCCCCCCCACTGCACAGACTAGCACCCCACAGAGTGTTGGGTTGGTCCTACGCGCGCTGCCTCAGTCGGCGCGGCCCCTCACCTTGGACTACGAGGGCAGCGGCTCTCTGCCTCAACCCTCCAATCAGACCCTCTGAGGCAGACAAAGGCGCTGGCCAGCTAGCCAATGAGCTGCTGGTCACCACAGAGACACAGACACACAGTGATTGGGAGATGAGCTTGCCAAGAGCAATGGCAAGTGATGCCACCTCAGTCAGTCAGAGTTGTATAACGAGTATTAAAGTTATTGTTTATTTTTTTACAGGTGCCTACATTTATTAGTAAACAGTGTTGTGTTTTTAAAAAAATATATATTTAGAAAAGAAAAAGACTTAATGCAGCTAAACTTAAGTGTTGGGATTAAAGTTATTAATTCCATATGAACAACACCATTGAGGTTTTTTAATATATGTTTTTTACAGTGTGAGTGGTGAAACCATTTCAACATCTGAATGAGTAGCTAGCATTAGTCAGCTTTTGGTACGCTCCAGTCTTTAAAGAATCTATGTCATCAACCTGCCCAGTCACTGGACGCTTCCTCAGTTCAGTACACATTCACTATAAACATAAAGGCAAAATTTGGCCCCAAATGCACTTTTGAACTTTTCCACATTACAACTTTCGCCCTCCACTGTTTGGATATGAAATTTGCCTCCATTGTAAAATTAATTTTATGAAATGATCATATCTGATTACTTTTTAAAAATAAGACTGAAGTTACAGAATCAACATTAATACACATCTGTTTGACAAATAATTTAAAAATGAGCTAAATGGGAATATTTTTACCTCCACATAGTATCAGACAGTTTTGACAATCACGGGGCAGTTTAACAGTTAATTTTCTGATGGCTTGACATTATCTGAATTATCCAGCCGCAACAAACACATCTGATACTGAGCTCACTATTTACCGATTAGTTGCACCACTGCACCAGCTCCTACATGTTTGTCACTGGTCACAGTATTTTATTTTTTAACATGAGTGAAAATGTTCTTACTAATCACAAGCGCATGCGTATGGGATCACCAGGGGTTAGAAAATGTTAATTTTGTAACTTTTTGGGTGGAAATGTCACCCACTAATCATTTGTATGATGTAGAGCTTTGATAATCCAGAGTATAGTGATGCATGGGGCCAATTCATTTTGAATGTGCCTGTTACAGCTTCGTCTATGACCATAATGTCAGTAAAATAATCTGCAGACCTGGCCTAAAGTATAATGGGGTCAGTGAGGGCAAAATGTTTAACCTTTCTGCCGGTGGTTCATCTCTGTTGGTGGTTGTAGAGTTGGTGCCTCACAAGAGCACTCGAGATGTTTGAAAACTGGTTCTGCAAAAGCCTGATGTTGTCCTTTTCTTTCTTGACAGTGTGTGTAGAGGTGTTAGAACAACTCTGGTTTCAGGAAAGCCGTGAAGCCATTTAAGAAATAAACCTTTGAACCTTTCCTGGTGATGTTTCAGTCTCTTTGAACAACACTCTGCAATAACTCAAATAAGCCAGCCAAGTCGATTTTTTTCTCCCGTTTTTTTTAATGACAAATATCAAGTATTCAAGGCATTTGTAAACCAAGCGTTCACAAACATCAGTTATACTTCTGCTCTGGAGGAACAAATGCAATAAGCGCTCAACTTTCAGAATATAGCTTCTGTTCTGTCCAGGTAATGCATTTTCATTTGAAATACTGATGAAAGGAAAATGTGTTAAAACAAATCTACAGGCAACTTTAAGTCGTCTGTGTCAGTAGTAGTCCAGGCATTTGAACAGCAGGCCACTGAATTCCAAGTAGTCAGTAGCAGTACAGTAAAAGGCAGACAGCCCTGCATTTACTGTGTCTAATGATCAGTGTGGCATTACTGTATGATTCTCGACCCATCCCTGCAAAGAGTGCACGATCTGGTTCACGTCACCTCATCGTTGAGTTCTGTGTATAAAAGCCAATTTCCAACCTGTAACTAAGATATCACAAATTTGACAATACACATAGCTGTTAAATCCCTGTAAAACATGGCCTTGAGATTATTACTTTTCTAAGATGTGAACAATTTTTTATTCTGATGAAACAAAATGCAAATATTCCTGAAACCAAGCAGTATAACATTATGTTCTGCCTAGCAAGGGAGTCACTAACTAAAAGCTATAGAGAGAGTTTGCAAAGTTCAGTAAGTATAAGACGAATCTATTTAAAAATTTTTACTCAACATTTGGTATTTTATCAGAACAGAATTTCATAAGCAGCCATAACCGGATCAATAATCCTAAACTGGAATTCCTTTTTTGAGACTGTGATAAATACGGAGCACTAAAGGAAGGATATAGAATCATTACAGATGGAAAGAAGGGCATTCTGGGTAGCGTAACTTTGGCATTTAACTGCGTAGTCCGCTCGACAGTAACAAAATACATCGCAATTAACTAACTCATGACGGAAAGTTTTTTTTTATTTTTTTTTTTTACAAGCTTTAAGTCTTTTTTTCCCCCTCTTTTTAATTACAATGGGTTAGTTCATAAATATTCTTCTAACTACGTGTGCGCTCTATAATACGCTTCATTTGTTTCATCAGTATTTACACGATGAACCGCTTATGAATATGTCATTTGAGGTACTAAGTCATAATACTAAAAGTAGTCGCTGCCATTACCACGGCGGAACACCCTGAATCTTGGCCCAAAACGTTAACTTTTAAAATGTATTACTCACTGCATCAGATTCTCCATTCCTTTGCAAACCTTTTAATAACTAAAACAAAGTCGAACTGATCAGAATATTCAGTACTTTATTAGACTCATCTTTTATTCCCCCCCAGAAAAGAAAACACTCATAAAAATGTGGTTATTAAAACATGTACCACGGATATGACTTTTTGTATGCACCTAATATATATCGAACAAAGCTTTTATTTTTTATTTTTTCCTCTCCATATTACCACTTTTTCTGTTTCCTCTGCAAACACTACCTGTCCTATTCAAAGGACGGTAAATAATCCATAAAGATAATTTAGAAAATAACAAGAGCACAAGGCAAAAGGAAATTAGACGATTCTATTAAAAGATGGTACCTGCTAACAGTTAAGGCTCATTTGTGTCATATAGTGAATGTTCCTTCACCACCAAACTGACAGTTTTAGAATTTGTCTCAGTCACATGAACGGCAGCAACACATCGTTCAGAGACAGCAGGTTATCTCTTGCTCAGGTATATCTTTGGAAAACTGGAGTGCTAAATTCGATGCAGTGATTAAGTTTAACAATTAACCTTTTAACCAAGAATTTCATAGTAGTAGGTCTGACAAACATTCACTGGCCTTCTCACAATCCCTGTCCACTAGAGGCCCCACAAACACACCGGGAGCTGAATAATCGTCCGATAACCCTTGCTGATAAAATTAGGTTCACCGTTATTCATGCTTTCCGCACTACTTATTTTAAAAGCCTAGACTACTAGATAACTACTATGTACATCTGATGACCATTAGAATGGAGAAGCCATTACAATACAATGCCAAAATTATGCAGCGTTTGTTGTTGATTGTTGCGATACATCAGATACAAAATATTTTTACTTTGATAAAGCTGTGTTTAAAAATCAAATCAAATTTGTTCAGAAAACAGCAGTTTTGCCACATTTTCTTACATCTCTGTCATGTTTTCCAGTTTCAAGTACAATCACACCTTTTGGACACAGTAGCTTCAGCACATGGTCAGAGATGAGATATCATTCTTGTTCCTTTCCCCTGTTATGACACATTGTCACAATAAAATAGTGTGATGACGTGTAATGAAATACAGATATCTTGCTCACTGATGAGAAGTAATTTACCGCTGTAACATTGGTGCTTTAAGTTACATGGTTACCTTGCAGAGGCGAGAGAAGCGCAATGACTCGATCTCTGTGACAACACTTAATGCTCCCAAACATGAAAGAAAAAAAAATAAATAGCAGAATACTGTCACTCAGCTGAGGGGATAGTGACTGGCTTTTTCAGTAGCTAGCATTTACCCTGGTAGCTAGCTTTGTATACTGGACTGGCCGAATCAGCCTGAGAGGCACTGAAAAAAAATCCCACTTGTTAATTCTAAAGGTAGAAGAGGCCGACATGCTCACAGCTAAGACTGTGAGCAGACAACAACATGGTGGTATGTGTAAATTGAGCAGGGAAGAAGAAAGAGCTACAGGTGTTGAATACAGAGGGAGCTGTACAGTACTGAGAAGGGAGGAGCTGTACACAGGATCTTGCATAGTACAGGTTTGTCAGTTGTGCTTTTGATGCCGTGTTGATGAGGACACATCTTGTCTGTACAGAGATTTTAATGCCCCGCCTTTTAAACAGTAGCACCATGTGATGTCTTTACATCGTCCGAACCTTGAAGTCTGACCTTCTGGGTGGATGCTGTGTGTGGCTGCAGCTGAAGACATGGTCAGAATAAAAGAACATCTGTCATGTTAATATAAATAACAATGAGCAGCCCTTTAAGTATGGTGGGCGCACCGGTGTCTCTGCCAGTCAGCCCCACAGCAGCTGTGGAGCCCTGCCTGGTGTCTGATAGGTGGAAAGCAGAAACTCAAACAGGAAGGCACATGTCACGTTGACCCCCGGGAGAAGGCTTGGTGCGCTTTCAGACCTGGGCGGAGCCTCTGTGGTGATGTGGCAACAGGATGGGCGGGGTTATTGCTTTGAGGGCATTGCCGGGGCAGCTGAGGCTGCTGTGGCCACGGTTGAGCAGCAGGGCGGCCGGCGGGTCGGGCCGAGGCGGGATGAACACAGGGCAGGAGCGGGTGCGAGCGTGGCTTTTCTGGCCCCCGGCGTGGCAGATGAGCTCGCTGACGGTGCCCAGCGGAGGCAGGTGCTGGCGCCAGCGCTCGGCCCGGTCCTCCTTGTGCTTGATCGAATACCAGGTGAGAAAGATGAAGATGAAGCCGACAAACTTCAGGCTGGCGGCCAGGCCGAAGTAGACGAAGCGGAACGAGGTGACGTCGTACTCCCAGCAGGAGCCGTGCACGCCGCAGTCCTGCTGCCACAGCATGCAGGTGGTGTCGATCACAGCACCAAAGTAGATGGGCGTGGGGATGTAGGCTGAGGAAGTAGAGAGATGTGATAAATAACTTGATCTAGTAAACAAACTACATACTCCAGTTGTTTGAATCTATAGTGTGTTCACACTGCAAACGTGCCAAAGTTAAAGGCCCTGAAAACCTAGTTTCTCAATAAATTTTTTATTATGAGGGGTCCAAAAGTGCTATTTTCTTCCAGATTTGGAACAGTTTTGGTTATTTCCGTGTTTGTGTTCTTGCATTTCTCAAAATTTAAAGTGGACGAAGCTCAGCTGGAAAAAGGTGATGTAATATAATTCCATGAACCAATTAGTTTAGCAAAATTTGTAGGTCTGTGTGGCTGTAGTTTGATTGACACTGCTGGCAAGATAAGCAAACAGCCCTACAAATGTTGCTAAACCAATTGGTTCATGGACTAAGCAAATTAACTTAAGTGTTTTGATTGTTTGCTAATTTAGTCATAAATATTTAATCTTATATAGAAATACTTAAGATTTGATATCAAGTTTTCAAGGGCTTTAAGTATGCTCCATAAAAGTTTTTAGTCACTTTATTTGACGCCGGCCAGTGCAAATACTGTATCATTTTCTGTTGCAATACAATGCAGTAAATTACAATAATTTCATATATACTTGCTACAAAAACACAAAAATATCACAATTTGTTTATAATGCATACAATGAATCTGTCATGGGATCAGGATATGGCCCTTTAATGTAGCACCATCATTCCACCACTTGGTGGCAGCATTTCATGCAGATCAGTAGCTGCTGCGATGCATGAGGGGTCATGCATCTCAGTGAAGTGGACAAAATATTACCAAGACCTTTTAAAATAATGAATCCAACACCATTTCACTACAGCCTCAAAAATTAAGTGACTTCAGCATACTTGCTGGCACAGTCGCCACACATAAAAGGAACATATGTAACTTTATGAAAGCAAAATGTATTGCAGAGCTGTCGCATAGTATTGCATCAGATTGTATAATTACATTGATAACTCAGATTTTTTAAATCTAACTGTTTAACTGCATAACCATCACAAGTACAGACTCCCTCCTGCCGCCCATACACACATCTTGAGATGATTTAAGGGAAGTGATGTGACAGCTTTCTGTTCACACAGCCATACCAAGCAGATCAGAGGCATGTTAGGGCAGCGCTTACTAACCCTAAGGACTTTTCTACACTTGTCTACACAATAATCACAGAGGTCCATTGCAGTGCTGCATCCCTGCTCTCTTTAAAACTGTAGGGTGTTGGCAAGAGAGAGAATTAGAGCCACAGAGTGTTGGAAAAGTGGAGAAACCAAGAGACTTGTCCTGCTTAGCTGGCCTTTACTGTCCAATTATTGTCCAATTAGAAATACATTAAGTTCACTAAATGACACCCTTTGCTTTCTGAAAATAACCTTTAACATCTATTCTTTATGACCAAAGTAGATACAATAGACAAGAGATTATAATGTTTCCCAGTTCCAATATGTTTTCCATTCATCATAGTGCAAATATTCATGAACTTACCAAGAGTTCGGAGCAAGACGAACTGCATCCCAAGAGCAAAAGGCCTCTCTTGTTCATCAACAGACCTGAGAAAGGAGAAATGGCATGTAAACGATACAGGATGGGGCAGATGAATTAAACTCTGGCAATGACTGGCATAGGTCAGGCTCCTCCTTACCTTAGTGTGACGATGATGGCGGAGGGCTGGGCACAGGCGGTGATCAGAGTGACGATGAAGAGGAAGATGAGGAAAGGGATCAGAGTGTTGCAGGTGCGGTCGCACTTCCCCAACACAGCGTAGCCGTTCTCGTTCAGGTAGGTTTTAACAATGACCAGCTGTAGCTGGTTGACCTGGCCGCCTGAGGACGGAGTGATGACCTGTCTGCTCTGCACGCAGCCGCAGTCGGTGTAGTTCCTGATCTGTAGTCATCAACAACTGGAGTAAATCCTACTATACACTCAAGATAAATTGACTCAAATCTGAAGCTAATACCAATTAAGAAAAGTCTGATATGAATGCACACAGACAGACTGGGTGGCACCAGCAATCAGTGCAATCAGTGATCTGGACAAGAATCTAAAAAAAAAAGTTGTTATAATTTCCTATCTGACATTGTTGTGGAGTCTGACACTTCCTGTGACAAATGTACGAAGAACAGGTCTTTGTGTATTCATTATTCATTAGTCATTTTCTATTACATGATGTATGAATGGCCACATAGCAGTTATTCTAAGGCAGGAAAACAACAAAGCTGTGAGTGTACAGAGTGCATCAGTGTGTGTGTGTGCCCACCACGGTGCTGTCATTGCCCACAGTGCTGCATCCAGCCAGACAGGGGTTGAAATAGGTAATGCCGTCAGAGCCGCAGACCGGAGCGTACTCATGGATCCTGCAGCCACAGTTCACGTTGCAACTGCCCGTCAGGTTCCTGTGGGTCATCGTCAGGGTCGGACTGCACAGACGGACACAGAAAACCTTTGTTAACAACAAGAGGGACCCACTGTGTCCGTTTACTGGACCACATTACGACAAAGCTGAACTTTCAAGGCTGGATTCTTGGTGCGGCTTACTTTTGTTTAAAATATTTACATATAAGAGGTTTTCATGTCAGTGCAGGGGCTATGTGCTTCTTTGTAACTCTTGTTTTTCCTTGCCTTTCAAAACTCATTGGAAAATGTTAAAATTTCTTTTTTAAATTCACCCTTTGGAGATTTTGGATGGATTTTCACAGTAATGCTATATCAGCAAGGGCCAGGGGCAGGGGACACCAATCTGTAGGAACCTTTATCAACTGTCTACACATTTATTAAGGTTAGTCTCAGTGCAACCTTGTTTATAAGTGTGGCCCTGCTGGGATAGCTGCCTCTCAATTTAGCTCCAGAAAAATTGAAAACAAATTTATGGCGCTATGCGTCACATTTTAGACTACATTTCTCATAAAATCCAATCCTTCCTGCTGCAATGAGGATGATATATATTGTCCCCATTACCCTTCTCTGCATGTTATCACTCCATAAGGGTTTGTTTCAGCAGGGAAAAGGCCAATAAAAAATCTAAAACATACATTATTTGCAAAGTAAGTTCAGTGCAGTAATGTAAAAAGCTAAATGTAGAGTGAAAGCTGGAAGAAGATCTTCTGGACAACGTTTACTGTAGTCTCTGTGTCTCATTATTAATTCGCTGAACATAATCCTTTCAATTTAATTTAGCCCTCCACCAGCTCGTGTGATGTGTGGTGATGGAAGGACAGAGACGAGGGGCTTGAGGAAGGGACACTTCCGGTGACTCGACAGGCAGTGTGGGAACACCCGCTCTAAGCTAAACAGGACTTCGGCCTAGTCTAAACCAGGAGCGGTGAAGCGAGTCCGGGGTTTTCTCTGGGAAGCTTCGCACTGAGCCCTGCGGAACAGCAGTGGACAGGCCCTAACAACACAGCCTCGGAGTGACACACACACACTCCAACATGACATCTCTTTGTATTCTGATTCTGACTCTGAATGTGTTTAGGTTATTGTTTTTATGATATAGTGCCTGGTTGTATCCATTGTCAAATAGTCATTCATTAGACATGTTGTCAAAGAATACTATATTACCACAACAAATGACAACCTGCCATGCAGTAAAAAGCTTAAATTATTTTATGCTACCTCTTAAAATCAGTGGACCATCATTTTTCACAAGACCATAAAGTGGTACTCCTCATTTTTATATTGGTTGTAACAGGGGATGCACATTTGGGCCTGTCCTGACAGCACTGTCACATTCCTGTGTGTATTTGCATGCACGAAAAAAAGGCATCAGCCCTGCCGGAGTCGCAGGCTCGCTGCACTGATTGCACATGTCCACCCCTCCACCCCCCCCGACTTAACCCCGGCCTTCGCTGAACCCTCCAGATGTTGCGTCGCCGTGTGCAGGCTGCACTGCATAAAAACCCAGAGCCAGGAGAGCGAGTGGCTTAGCGCGGTTTAGAAGTGCTGAACAGTGAGAGTGTCAGTAAAAATTCTGAGGTTTGATTTTGTAACAGAGGAAACAGATTCTGGTCATTTGACAGCTTTATTTTGAAAGACCAAGATGACTACACAGCAGCTATTAATTAATCATACAGGCCAAACCCATAATCATGAACACTTGCAGATATTCATGAAAAGGTTGTGGACCTTTGGTGTTTGACTTTGATGTGCTTTTTTTTGTCAAATAGTCTCCAGCCTGTCAGCAGGCCAGAGCTGCGTCTAGACTAGTGTGTGACTACAGACGCGAGTGACACAAAGGGTCGGCTTGGGCTAAACATTCCTCATGTGGGCGCTATCAGCGACCAGTGACCAGTACTGTTCATAATGAGGAGCCCCACCGGCTCACACGTCTTGTTGACCCCTCTATAAACCCTGGCTTAAACAAAGACTACAGTTACTAACGGGTCAGCTATGGGGCTTTAAAGGGCACACTGACTATTTGGCAAATAATCACTCTGATTAACGTAGGCGTGTGAAAAGTACATTTCACAGGGTTTTTGCAGTTTCACCTTTGTGTGTTCACTGTTTAGTGAACTTCTGAGATGGTGCTGTTGGCCTGGCCCATAGAGACAACATAGGCAACCTGGTCCATTATCAACACTAGCGGTCTGGCCATCGGGAGCACTGGGAGATTTGGTGGCCTGAGGGCCGTTGAGGCCTGCCGTTAACTCTCAACTTGACCAGCGGTAGAGATAATATAGCATGCTATATTACTTTTGATAGGATTGATGCTTGAATAATACGATAATCATTTGAGTAAACTCCGTATATCTCATTATCTTTTGTAAAAGTGTAGGCTACATTTCTATGTCCTTGATTGGTGTATGTCTAGGGAGTTTTTGAGGACACACATAGGTTACTTTTTGGTCAGTCCCAAATGTTTGTATTTTGTAATGTGGATAACTTTCTTCCCAGATGAACGTAGTGGCTAAATCCATAAGTAGTTGGGTACCTATTACATCAACAAATAGGGTTAATCTACAAAATTAGCAGTCTGGTGGTTGGGGTGAACAGGGTGGCCTAGGATGGAGTCATCCTGAATTATGGTGCCTGTCCACCCCTTGATTTAAAAAGTATTTTTAATATATCTAATACTAATGACTATGAGCTTGCAGAATTAACTTTTGAATTTTTTATCAAAACGTTGAAATTGTTGAGAGATAGCAGCGTACAGTATGATGAGATGGGATATAACACAGTAGATGCATAACATGTTTGCAGTGCATCATCCATGGTTACTCTGCATGAGTGTGTTCACAACCGGGTGTGCCAACAGACGTCCGCTGCGCATTTCTGTCCGCAGGGCCTGACACATCGGATGACTGTTTGTTAACTGTGCAGCCTGGCTGCTGATGTGGTGTCGAGCAGCGGCTTCAGAAATAGAGGTGGCAGAGTGATTCAACGGAGCCACGAGAACAGATGCCCGTGTTGCTAATTAATCGTTCGCACTCCAACACGACACATGAGGATGATGGGAGCAGTGACAGCATCCCCCACACCCTCCCCCAGTATGCGTTTGTTTAAGATATAACTTCATATGTAGACTACGGTTCTTTTGAATATGCACTTCAAAGACAGATGTATACCTGGCTCTGTTGGTACATTTGTCCTTACCCGGTAGTGTAGGGTATGTTGATGCCTCCTAAATTGATGCTCTCACAGCCCACTATGAAGAGCGTGGAGAAGCAGAGCAGAGACACCCCGCTGCAGATCATGGCCAGCTTGGCCGACTCTCTGGCACCGAGCTTCAGCTTCTTGATGATGTAGCCCCCCAGCACAATGCCCACCCCGGCGCTGGGTACGATGATCACACCTGTGAGAGAGATCAGAGGAAAGAAGAGTAGGGGTGAGATGGAGGAGAAACTTCAGAAGTGTTGCAAACAGCAAAGAAACAGAGCAGCTAATTTGTGTGAACAAATGTTAACACTGAATTAATTGCTGTAAAGCTCGACTGACTGAATTGCAATAAGCACCTCGTGTGCAGTATTTTAATCTGGCATTTGAAAGATAGAATGATTGTATTATTGTTGTTGATTATCTTGTTAGACACGGTTGTTTGAAAAAGAAACATCAATGTCAAAGTGACATCCCCCGTTAAACCAAGAATAAAGAAAAATAAAGACTTTACTTCATCAATGTGACCAGGCAGGGGTACAGGCTACCAGTGAGTCATTTCAGGCTGTGGCACATGGCACTCTCAGTCTACCAGAACTAGTCTAACTGACAGCATGAAGAAAGGCAAAGCTGGCTGCTGGCCGGATTGACCGGGTGGAAAGTGTCAGCGTGCAGGAGTTAAGGCCAGGGGAGGCAGCACATGGCAGCCCTCCAGCCCAGCTACAGGCACTCGCGGCCGGGTACCGAGCAAGATGGGGTCTGTCAGCAAGGGGGGGGGGGGTGTCATCAAAGATAGAGGATTAACAGAGAAGTGATCCAAGTACACAGAAATGTCATCTGGCTTCTCCCTCTCTGTATGTATGTGTGTGTAACAGAGATCAAGAGAAAGACTGAGAGAAGGCAAAATATAGAAAAAGTGCCTCTTTTTGCACGCTCAATGAGAGCTAGGCAACAGACAGATGTAGCATAACATTATCCTGTAAGTGCATGTTTATGATTGAAAACCATGTCCTTTCTGAAGGATTAAACATGTACACAGCCAAACCAGATATCATATCAGTGACAGAAGGTACACACACACACTATCCTGCAGTGTTAAATGCTACACGAATGACATACACATATTTTTATCTGGATTAACAGCTATGCTGGCATTAATGTGAGTGATTATTTCCTAGTTATCTGATTAATGTGTATGCATGTCAGTGCTAATCTATTATAGAGAGCCTACATCAAAGAAGCCATGACTCTCAAGGCAAAACAGAGACAGAAGAAAAATGCAAAAAATAATAACAATGGAAAGTGCACATCTCAAAGGAACACTGGCTGAGATTAACAGAGCCACTACGTGAAAAAAAGTCAGAGATGCAGGCAGGGAGCAGCAGTAGCAGCATGGGGGAAACTGATGCTGAGCGAGGCGTGTGTGATATGTTACAGCGCTATATCTGTAGCAACATCTAATAAGCATGTAGCAGTGGCAGCTCTTTAACCGGGACTTTTATCTTGTTGACATCTTTGGTCTATTCATTTCTGTGTTGTTTTTATGGTTGTTCCTACTGATCATTCGGCATTCAGTAACACAAAGCTATGGCGTCTTATTCTTTAAATAAACCCTTCTTAGGACTTGTCTGCCATTGTGGCTATTGCTGGTTATTCTAGATACCTAATTCTTCATCTTTTTATTCATTGCAAAACACTGTTGGTGCAGCCAAAACATTGAACTCCCTCTGCAGCTCAGAACGTCTCCCTAAAGACTCACCCAGCACTGTTTTAAAGCTTTAATAAACTGAACCAACACTATATTAAATCCACTGGCAATTAGTGCTGGGCTCTGTTGGCTGGTTCCATTTTGGATCTGGTATAAAGTTGGTGAAAGACCTGGATTTCTTAAACCACACTGCTACCTGCAAAAATAATGACATTCCCAACAGCCTCAACTGTGTACTTGTTTAACACTAAATAGCAAATATTAGCATGGCTTAGCATGACACCACACTAAACTAATATGCTAAACATCTGCACTGAATACGTGACTTTAGTATTTTGTCAAAACATCTGTGTTTTGTACTGCCTCACAGAGCAGGTAACATGTCTATGGTCTTGTTTATCACTGTAGCTCTTTTTTAAGTAGTGAAGAGCAATGCATGCCATAGGCTGCCATTGGTTTGTGGACTACTATTTTAAAGCCTCGAGTATGGTTTTGAATTTGGTTTATTGAAAGCAGAAGTGACCGTGTTCGGAGGGGGTGGAGCTGGGGACGGATATGCTTTGCTTTGGTAGCAACTTGTTGAATACCTTAAATCCATCATAGACCCACTCCTGGACCCCCTGCAGTTCACCTAGTAACCAGTCTGTCAAGCTCCTGAAGTTTGCGGACGACACCACCCTCATTGGGCTCATCTCTGGTGGGGATGAGTCCACCTACAGGTGGGAGATTGACCATCTGGTGACCTGGTGCGGCCAGAACAGTCTGGAGCTCAACGCTCTGAAGATAGTGGAGATGGTCGTGGACTTCAGAAAGAGCCCAGCCCCACCCTCCCCCATCATCCTGAGTGACTCCCCCGTCGCTACTGTGGACTCCTTCCGCTTCCTGGGCACCATCATCTCCCAGGACCTCAAGTGGGAGCTTGAACATCACCTAATTCACCAAGAAGGCCCAGCATAGGATTGTAATTTTTATTTTTATTATTATTTTTATTTTTATATTTTTGTTGTATTATTTTTCTCTATTCTTCTGTTATTCTTATATAACTTGCATTTATTTATTACATATTTATATATTTATTACATAAATCTATGTAAGCTGTATGTCTGTGTGCGTGTAGCACCTTAACACTAAAGCAAATTCCTTGTATGTGTAAAACACTACTTGGCAATAAAGCTCCTTCTGATTCTTCTTCTGAATACAAGGTAGCCATGTCCTAAAGCATACCCTTCTTTATAGTCTATTTTAGTCTACATGGCACCATAATTTACTAAACGAATGTTGTGCTGCACTGAGGAAGACTTGAAACTAGTGATTGAGACCATAAACCAAGGTCAAAAATCAGGTGAGAAGTAGGGTCATTTTCTCATACACTTCTATCCAATCAGACATCTTTTTGCAACCAGTCTCCCCCTGCTGGCCATTAGAAAGAATGCAGGTTTAAGCACTTCTACCCAGCCGCCACAGAACCGGAGGCTATGTCAAGTGATGTACCCATAATCAACTGTAGGTAGCCATTTAGCTAAATAGCAAATATATCAAAATTGAATTCATATATTTGTCTTGCAAAGTCAATTTTGTTGCTTAAAACTGTTGAAAGCCAACCCCAACTAGATTTGACAGGTTTCAGAAAATGGTCCCTAGCTAAAACCAAATCAAAACCTAACTCTATTGATGATATCAAAACACTATTTATGTGAAAACATCACTAATCGATCAGTCTTTCACAATCATCAGGGAAATGTCACAGTTCGTCAGTCCATCTGGCTGCCTGAGAAAGCACCATGCTCCCAATCACAGGCGTGCCCTCTCCTCCTCCTCCGCCAACCACCATCACATCCCGGCAGCTTGGCATCGTTTGCGTAGCCATGGCAATCGCACCACCTGTTTGCCCTTACCCCTTGTATCCTGGCAACTGGCAGATGAGATGAGGCAATCGTCTTGTGCTATGTGTGGGTGTGTGTATGCATGTGTGTCTAGAGATGACCATATGTTAGCCAGCAGAATACTTGGACACACATACACACACATGAACACAGTTTTTTGCCTTCAATCACCCTTTTGCTGTAATAATCTAAATACCAGATTACTTGTGTATTATCACCGCTGGCTCAGACATGACTGAAGAACTAGACTGGTTCAACCAACATATGTGGTGCACGGATTACAGGCAGAGCAGAGCGTATGACCACGTTATGATGAATGTGTCTCCCGCAGTCAACAGACTTGTGTGTTGCAGTCAGGGGATGTAATGGAAGCTTATCAATGAATGAAAGTCAGCAAGACAGCATGAGTCATAGCGCTGCTATGATTCACTGGAGTGCACGTGGAGAGGTGAGAACAGATGTGAGCTTAAACTGGTACAGACTGATGGCGCACATTGTACGTGATGATGTATTATTTATCGTCCTGGATCAGGACACATTAAATCAACACAAAGGAAAGCAACACATACTGTAGAATAAACCATATTCACTACAATGAGAAAACGAAATACGTTATGGTATTTATGTAAATACTTGCATAATGCAAAATACATTAAGGTTTTGAATTCAAAAGTCTCACAATAATGATATATTTGCTTCCTTGTAACTGTTAAATACAACTCAAAAAAGAAATTAGCTTCTTTTTTTTTAATGCTGCAGAGTTATACATTCTAATTAACTCTCTGCTGAAGGCAGTTTTGCATCATTGATCTGATAGTTTTTTTTTATTTTTATTAATTTTATTTAAAAAATAAACACACAATTTCTTCGACAAAAAATGTCCAACATTTCTGAAGTTGCATCTTCGGTTCTGGGAAACTACAGCGGGCATTTTCTTTATACTTAGTTACATCTCTAGTTGTTTTAATTTACCTTTATTTCATTCTACTCTCTTTTACAGGCAGCTATGTACTACCATTATCTTCTACTGCATCATTTTCAATAGAGAATTTTATTTTACTGTATTGCTCAGAACGTCCTGTAAAGAATCCCTCATTAAAGGCTCCCACACATCCTTGAAGGCGGCCCACAGGGACAGTGACTGCAGTGACTCACAAGGCAACTAAAAAATGTGTCTGGCTCTGATGTACAGCTGAGATGAAGTGAAGGAGTAAAGAAAAAAGACAAAAACTGAAGTGACATAAAGAGGTGAAATAAAGAAAGACTTACCAGTGTATATACTGGCGTTGGAGGCGGGGATACCAAACTGTGACTCAATAAATTTGGGAATGAAGGTAATGAAGGCGGTGACGATGGCGCACTCCGCCGTGTAGGACAGGCTGACGAACAAGAAGGTCATGTTGCTGAGGATCCTCAGCGCTGCCTTGGGGAGGTCTGTGCAGGAATACAAGAACAGACTTATCAGTTCATTACTGTAGCGCTGTAATTAACACACAATCTCTCTTCATTTGGCTTTAACTCCCACACAAACTGAACTCCATGGAATCATCATCAGAAGAATTCTTACTGGAAAGTTGTAATTAAGAAAAGACAGAAAAAGGGGTGCATCTGTAACCCAAATAAACCTTATGTAATGATAACCCTAGGTAATAAAAGAATAACCTTTAAATATCTCTAAAACACATAAAGAACTCACATTCGAACATGCATTCAACCTTGTCTCATTGCATCTAGATAAGCATCCTTGTTTGTGCAGAAGCAAACTATACGTAAACACACAGGTGCACGTTGTAACCTCAAACCCTTTCACGCTTTAAGAAACTCATATAGCTATCAGCATGTTTGCTGTACAGTATAAGGATATGGATCATGTGTATCTCTGCTGCGAGGCCAAAACTAACCAAGCTCTGCAAATCTGGCCTGAATGCTGTCATCCTTTGTTCACCATAATAAGGGCAAACATGCCCTTTATGTCTGCTTGAGGACAGCGCCCATGTGATTTGGTTGGCATGATGCAGAATGCCCTCTGATCCTGCCAATCAAAAGTCACGTGGTCAAACTGTAAGTACATTACTGTTACTAGGCAGAAAGAACCATTTTTAATTTTGTCTGTACTACTGCATCTTGTTTGCACTGGCTGACAAACAGGAAGTGGTTGGAAGAATCTATGTATCCCATCAATGTGCTATGCCCAAATATGCTTACTTTATATCAGAATCCCAACCATCTACTTTCCTGATATCTCATCATGCACTGGGGCATGTAGACAAAATTTTCTTCAATAAAAGCGTAATCACCTGTGCAATACCCATGCTGTCTGAATCAGCATCTTGATATGCCACATCTGTGAGGTGGATGGATTATCTCGGCAAAGGGCTCACTAACACTGATTTTGACAGATTTGTGAACAATATTTGAGAGAAATAGGCCTTTTGTGTACATAGAGAAAGTCTTAGATCTTTGAGTTAAGCTCATGATGAATGGGGGCAAAAACAAAAATATTTTGTTCACTGTATATGATTCCAGTGGATATATATTGTTGGACTGATTAATGAAGGATTATTGGCTAAAGAGGTAAACATCCTTGATTACTATGTAAAGATGGATTCTTAAAGAGTACAGCTACACAAAATGTGGTGATTTTGTGTTCTCTCTATGAGCTGTAGGTAAAACTCACTCACAGGATCATGATTAGCTAGGCGCACTCCAACATATTGTTTGAAGTTGCCTGATTCCTATAATGCTCGAAATTCAGAATGAGAGGGGAAGTGAACGTCAGAATGGACGAAATGGACGTTAGCCCGAACTGTCCTAGTTATTGTTTACTCATTGTGTCATCCATGTCAATAACTGTGTGAAATGGCCCAATTCATTCTTAAATTATGGTGGAAAACGTATTTTGAGGTCACAATGACTTTTGACCTTTGAGTCAGAAGTGTCACCTATTCAGCGTCCAACCAACTGTGAAATCTGGTCACTATGACATTATGATATAACAGTGTCAAGGCGACCTTTGACCTCTTGGGTAAAAAATAAAAATAAAAAATCATCACTTCATCAGTGTATCCATTAAACTTCTGTGTGAAATTTTGCCAGAATTACCACATCAATTTTTGAGTTATAGCCCAAAACGTGTTTTGTGAGGTCACAGTTATCTTGATGTTTGAGAACCAAATTCTAATTAGTTCACCCTTGAGTCCAAGTGGACGTTTGTGGCAAATGTCAAAATATTCCCTCTAAGCGTTCCTGAGATATCGTGTTCAGAAGATTGCTAATTTGCCATGGTAGCGACTTGTCAGTCTGAAGGTAGCCACGCCCTAAAGTATAACCTGCTTTATCATTTATCTTACTGTACATGGGACCATAATTTACTAAATGAGCATCATTTGTGTTAAATAAGACTTGAAACTAGTGATTGAGACCATAAACTCATTAGGAACGTGTTTACTGAGGTAATAAATTAAGTGAGAAGTAAAGTCATTTTCTCATAGACTTCTATACAATCAGACTTCTGTTTGCAGTGTGCTTGCCAGAAAAGACTGTTCTCAGGGTCACTGGAACATACAGGCTCCTTCATCTCAATAAGACTGAGGCAAAAGATTTCAAGAGCAGATTTGACAGAATAGGGATCTCCGCAATCCATAGGGACCTGAGATTAAAGATGCTCCTTACATAACAGATGTAGAGAAGGAGCTGATGTAGTTGGGATGTTGTGAGGAAGACCTAGGACATTCTGCTGGGACTGCATCTACAAACCTGAGCTGGAGCAAACTGCTGCTAAAGCAGCAAAAGAGATATTTTCCTCTTTGGTTTTTATGCACTGAAATTCCAAAAGACCAGGAAAGGTCCCTCCATCAAAAATAATGATCAGATAATTAAAGAATCGAGGTCGCTTATGTGCAACAAGGTTTCTCCATTTAGATGAATTTGAACTTTGGGGATTCCAGTCAGATTGTTGTGTTGTCTAACCTTGACCTTAACAATCTGTGGGTTGAAAGATGTGGGAGGACAGCAAACAAAGTAAGCATTTATTTAAGCCTTTCAAAATAAAATACTATATTCCATTTTTTAGATTTCATAATTTTACACCAGTCTTTTTCTGTGCAGTCTTTTTCTCTCACTATCTCTGTAAGTGTGTGTAATCTGTCATGGGCCAAATTGGTGAACAAAAGTCAGACTTCACAACATTTGGCTGGGGACAACTCGTCTAACTGAGCACTCAGCTGGCATCTCCAATTTTGTCCCATGTGTGTCCCTAGAGTTGAAAGCCCTGAGGGCAAATGTTATGACTTTACAGTCATAAGGCTTCTTCTGTCTCACATGCTTCACACACACACACACAAACCCACAGCCTAAAAGCATGGACAAACGAAAAGGCAGGAAGTATGTAGAGGGCATTATTATTGCGTTTTATTGGGGAGGCTATTATTAAACTTGCAGACCTCACTGGGCGGCACAGTGTCTTGGTTTGGGGATCACCGTCTCAGCACTAATTATACTAATCTTTTTGTAGGTGGGGAAATGTTAGCATCTGTCACTGTTATTTTAGATAAATGTAGGAATAGAATAGTGATGCTATTTATTTCATTCCTGTAATGTTTGTCTGGAGGGGGACAGATGGCGAGGTCCTGTTGACGTCTACAGCAGCTGCTCTCTCAGTCAGACAGACCAATGGGTCGCAGTAGTTGCCACATTTGTGAGTTTATTCGGTCAAATTGTTTCATTCATGCTGCTTTCACTAAACATTTACAATAGTGATAATATATGTAACTATTGTTAATATCTGTAAATGCACTGTAGCTTATATAAGTGATGTTTTGACCCATGAAGATAGTAAAGTCTTTGGAGTTCTGCACAGATGTCTCAAAGGATATCATTTAATCATTTTGAGATATAATTAATTAATCAGATGACTGAACTAATCTGTAATCTGAACATTTGAAAGCAAGTCACTTTCATCCAAATCTGAATGTAAAATAATTCATGGATTGGACAAACTACACATTTATATCAATCAACTTCTTAACAAAGAGCTTAGGATGCTAATTCTGCTAGTATTGAATGATTAATATAAACAACTGGCAGAAAATGAATCAGCAACTACCTTAACAATTGATCACTTGTTCAAGTCTTATATCTGGTTCTAGCTTCTCCAATATATTTTTGTAAACTGAATATCTGACTGTTTATCAGCCAAAACAAGCATTTAAAGAAATCACCTTGGCTTGTACTTGTAAAAATTAATTGACTTATCACTAATCAATGGATTAATCAATAATTTAAATGATTAGCCACAACCCTAATTTGTACTTGCTAAGGTCTGTGTCAAAGGAGAGTCACATCTTACTTGCAAGTCAATCAATGAAACTACTTTTGTCCTGCTTCAGGGTAAAATATCAATTTAGATTTGTGTCTCTGTTTTAAATCAGGTAAGCAATCAGACATTTAAATATGATTGCAACATACAGTATGTGGCTGCAGTTATTCATCTATGCTGACTAAAATTCCACAAAATGCTGAAGTCAAACAAATATTAAGAATTGCTTGCAAGCAGCAGTTGACAAAGTTCTGGAACATTCCATAATCAAAAAGTGTCCATCTGACGAGCATTACTGAAAACAGTCAGCGTTAGCATTTTTCAGTGCTTGGTGAAAACAGCCACTTCAGTGCAGAACATCTTTCACAGAAAGTGCTGAATTTGTGCTTCAAACAAACACACACACCTCAACAGAACGACATGCACAGTGCTAAAATACATTACAGATCCAAACATTGAAGTGCCTGGCTCTGCAATATTGGCCATAGTTTGCACAACAGTCCAAAACATCCTGAGTAAAACAGCAGGAGAGCTACCACTGGACTGAGGAAGCTATTGTGCATTCATGGTAGCAGTCTGTGTTATCTGCTCTCCGAGGGGGAATGCACATAAGCGTGAATTGGAGTATGCACCCATTTAAATGTGTGTTAGAATTCACTTCAGTTATTTTGCATCACAATAAAGAGTGTGAGAGCAAACGTGCATGCTACAGTTTCGCTCTGCTGCAGAGTCTGTCTGCTCCTGTGTGCAGAAACGTGACTGACTTCCCCCAAGAGCTCATTTAACAGAGAGAGAGAGAAAAAGAGAGAGAGAGGAGTAGAAAAAAAAAATCAGACAAGAGGAAACTGGGAGACACTGGAGCACAATTCAGCTTAACCAGGGGGTTCTCCCAGGGAAAACCGGGAGATTCCTGGTTTATCTGGCTCAGAGAAGACATAGAAAATGCACAAAGGAGCACAGCTGCAGGCAGTTTAACAAACACAGTCTCCAAATTTTTTAAAATGTTATAATTTTATTCTATATATATTTTAGATATTTTATTGGGACTTATAATGTCAGAAATGTACTGTTATTCATTTAAAATCAAGGTTGCTATGCTAAACACTAAGTCTTTTGTGTCAATTAAAGAGCAATAATGTGTGACCTTTAGCCACGTTCATTTACTAAAATAAATGCACTAAAAAGCCCATGTTCACAGTGACTTACCTGCTTCATTAGTCAGCTGTGTGGACAACCTCCTCCGTCGCCAATCAATAACATCTTTAAAAGGAGATCTCTTCCACAATTAGATAAAATGACTAATCTCGGCCATTGATTGGATTATGGGCCATTTGTACATCAATAACTCACAGCTGCTTTATGTAAGGTACTTTCAACACCAGTGATTCCAGGGGTGGAATAGACTGTATCAGGTCCTCACCTTTGATGTCCTTTCCAAAGCCGATTGAAGAAGAGACGTTCTGGCATTTGCTACTGGACTTTTCCTTCATCACATCGTCGTCGCTGGACACGTCACCTGGCGAGCTTATCTTTTTCTTCTTCCTCTTTTTGTGGCGCGGAGGCAACTTTTTGGGGAAGGCAAACATGGGAAAGATGACCAGAAGCATGGCTACGCTACACAAGAGAAAGCCACTCCACCTGAAAGGAGGAAACAACGGATGCGTTTGTAAAGACAATTGAGAACAGACTGATCAACGCACATAAGGGCTCTGGCAGCCACACAGATGCACATGCATATTTACCAGTTGCCAACAAAGCGAGGGTCACTCTGGTCGATGTTGACTACAGTTTTGGGGTCGACGTAGAAGCCAATGAGGACGCCTCCAAGCAGGTAGCCAGCTGCAGGTCCCAGGGCTCCCATCACATACATGACGGCTAGAAGAGGCACAGAAGGAACCGATTTGAAACCTCTATAACATCAAATATTATTAAATCCTCCTTCCTAACTGGAAATGCTTTAAATAATTAATACATTTTGAAGTGCATAAAGGGTCAATTAGGAAGGTCATTGTTACATGAGGACAGAAAGACAGCACATTGTTTCAGAGCCTACTCGTTCTTCCACTTTACTCATTAATGCTCAAAATGAGCTAATGTTAACGATGATAGTTTAAATCAGACCCGCGAGAGCTGTTCATTTCTCCCAGCTTTTGAAGCGTCCATAATAAAGGACCTGAAGCTCCAGGGGTCTTCAATTCAATTTCAATTCAATTTTATTTATATAGCGCAAAATCACAACAACAGTTATCTCAGAGCGCTTTTCATAAAAGAGCAGGTCTAGACCGTACTCTGTGATGTTATTTACAGAAGCCAAACAAGCCCAACAGTCTCGCGTTGAACCGAGGGCACACCTGCAGCTCTAGCACACCAGCAAACCTCGGAGCGCGTGGGGGAAAAACATTAACCCTAGGGGTCTCTCAGACTGCCACTGAGGTGAGCCAATCGCATCCCCGTCACTTTGCCACAGTAGGAAGGGAAAAACTCATTAAAGTCAGATAACCTTAGTTGGACAAGTGGAAAAACCTCCTGCGGACATCCAGCAGAGACGCGAGTCAAAGCCATTTACCGGCTGTAATCAGGGGGCAAACTTTCTATAATTACACCGGGAACATTGCTGCTAGCCGCCAGAGTGTGAGAGAGAGAGTGTGTGTGATTGAAGGGTCGGATTAGCTCTGTGATGGTTGTGGGTTTGTGCATATGCATTAAAATGTTTCTGTGAATGACAAAATTCTCACCCACAAATGCCCCTGTTCCTCTATTTGGGTCTTTGTTAGATGCCAGCACTAAACCCCATCGGCTGTGTGCGTTTGTGTGTCTGCGCACACGTTTAGCAGCAGGTGTGATGTGTGTACAGACTTACTCAAATGTCTAGTTACTCAAAAGGTCCCCCCCGAGACCAGAGGAGCACCTCCTGTCTGCCAGATTACGTAACAAATGCATGCATGCAATACACGCTCAGATTTCTCCTCCATCAACACAGTTTGTTTTTGTCAGAATCGAAGCTCAAAAGCCATTTCATCTCAGTCTGTTCCACCAAATGTTTCAGCTGCCCCGCCAACATTTGCATATAGCATGCCAACATACCAAGAGGCTTACGTCTTTTTTACTGCCCTCATATTTTCATCCATCATTTTTTGGACATGCATGCTTACTCCTATAGTGTGGTTCCAACAATGCCCCCAAAGCACAAATGCTTATCTAGACTTAATTAAATCATGGCTTCCTCAAACAAAACTATTGGGGGAAAAAAGAGACAGAGAGGAAAATATTGCTTAAAGAACAAAGGCCCTTCAACAAATCCTCTTATCAGCCTAAAGCAGACATACACACACACACACACACACACACACACACACACACACACAAAATGCAAAACAACAATGGTCAACTCCTGCAGCTCCAAAGACTCTGGTGATAGGTTTCATGTGAGTTTCTGCACACATACATGCGATGGAAAAGAAAAGCTAGGGGGCATGCTTATTTTAAAATACATATAACATATATGTTGTGTGTGAGCCTGAAGGTCTGCGGCAGTTTCATTCCTATAAATCACTTCTCTAAGCACCTAAAGCAGGGGTCCGTCCCTCTTTCACTTGTCCTGCCTCTTTCTCCTTTTCCCCTGCGTATCGTATTTCATCTTTTTAACTCCTTTCACCATGCCTTTTCTCATATCCTGCTGGCTGGAGAGCCAATTCACCGCAGCAGTCAAACCGTTGCAACACAATGCAACTGGATAAATTACCACCCAGAGACAATAAACAATTAATTATAGTTGGCAAGGACGACAAGAGGTCTTATCTTACCGTCTCCATCTTGAAATTAAAAACGTCTCACAAAAAACAAGCTAGTGAATCACGCTTTTGTGACACACAGCATAATTATTTCCACCTATAAAGCACAGAACACAGACCATAATATAAACGCTGGCTATGATGCCGACTAGACTTTGACAAGTGAGTTTAAGGATGACAGCTAGTACACAATATATTATGGATTGCAGGGGTTTCAGATTCAAACCTCCTGCCTCTTGAGCTTTAGACCAGTCTAACAAGTGTAAATCATCTGGAGCTGTAGGTTTGAGCTGGTTAATAATGGAAATATGAATGGACGTGACTGCAGTGTGTGAATCAGCTCACAGAAAGAAAACCCTATCAATGAATCAATCTCATCACCTCACCTCGCAGACCCTTCCTGTGCCCCAAATATAACAGCCCATCATTGAAACACTCTGGTTTGAGCCAGACACATCGGGTGCATCCATGCGTACACTCCTCAGGCAAAGGTTGAGTACCAAGTACGGTCTGTTGGTTGCCCTCCAATCTCCATCCTCATTTTTTTGGGGCACCCAGGCGGGGAGGACCATATATTATCCCCCTTGGGGCAACTGTGAAAGCACCTGTCTTGCCATTCCATCCATCACATTAACAGTGTTCTGCCCGATTGGAGGACGCGAGGGGGGTGGGGGGGTCATAAACTGTGCCTGACTCGTCACCCTACCCTGCCCGCTTGGCACCGAGCCGGGATATTTAGGGATGAAGGGATTGGAGGGCTGCGGCCGGGCTGAAGGGCGGCCAGGGCACAGCCATCGGATTGAGGAATATGCTGGCACAGCAGCAGCGCTCCATCACACATGCTGTGACTACATACGTCAGTGGAGCATACCAGTGCAGAAAGCATGGCTCACTTTACTCAATCAACCACAATAGACCTTTACCAGCAGCACATGAAGGACAATACATTACATTATAGGCTTCATATGTCTTTTTACACATGTGGAGGAAATGGATGAGGAGCCCTCCATTGCGGTCTCTGGCTTTTTACTCATGTTGTACAAAGTCAGCATCTAAGCCATCTACGTGACCATCCAGTCTGACTTTCACTATGTTGTGGTAAATTTGTGCTGACTTTGTTATATGCATTAGACATGCATGAAAAGATACAAATTGAGGATGAAGCCACAGAGCATGCAAGTTCAAATATTACAAAACAAATCCAATATGAGCAACACAATATTAATGAGGTTTGAGGAAATGTTTATTGAACAGGCCAGGGGGGGAAAAAAACGCACACGTGAACATTTACGAGAACTCATCAAGAAGCACCAAAGCATCAATTACAACATCACAGGGGCTTCAATGTCAACCAAGGTCAGTACCTCCTGCACCTTCAATACACACATGAACGCTTACGTACATGCACATGGGACACGTGACAAGGGCGGTGCGAGGGCATCGAGGGTAAGAGTGAAGGACGGATAGGGTTAGTGAGTTTATAACGCATCATTTAGTCCAATTTACTGTTTCAGCTCCAGCGTTGGTGATGGATGTATTGGCACGACGGCAAAGGAAGAAGAGATTTACTGGACAATAACCTGGAAAGAGACTGGCAATTTAGTGGGATAGAGAAAGAAATAAAAACTGATCAACAGAGAGAAAAGTGGCAGGGAGAGAAAGTGGAGACGAACGAGAAAAAAGAAAACACGAGGTAGGAAGAAACAGAATAACATCTGCAGAGGGGAGCGAGAGCGATGGAACATAAAGAACAGAAGGAGGGGAAAGGAGAAGAGCCCGGCTACAGTGACTGATCCTGCCATGTAAAAAGAGTGATAAAGCTTGCTCAGCAACATCCCTCTCACGTCTAACCTTCAGGGACCAGCGCTGCTGTGTTGTCTCCACTCTGCCTCCTCCACACTCTGTGAGTGACTCTCTGTATTCATGAGCAGCACTGACTCATTCAGAGCTCATAGGAAATGAATGGAGGGTGAAACAGAAAAGGGGAGAGTGGCAGCAAAGAGCAGAAGAGGTGTGAATTAAAAGTATGATTACAAGAAAAGTAAACGCCCAGGCGGCTGCTGATATTTTTGAATTAAGGTGTTTGTTATTTTGCCCGTCCTTTGGAGCCATCTAGAACTTCAACGAATTACTTTTCTTTTCAGATTAACTTCTTTAAAATTTCAGATATTTCAATAGTGAAATGCCCATCACAATTTTCCACAGCGCCAAATGCTGTCATCAGAATGTTAGTCCAACCACCAGTCAATAAATATTTTATTTATATATATAAAAACAGAGAAAAGCAGCACTTTTGTTCAATAAATGCCTTTAATAGCTGATCAGTAATCAAAGTTCGTTGTTACATTTTCAGTTGAACAACTTACTGTTTAATTGACTATTGATTTCAGCGATGTAGTTCATTCATTACAGATTGTACACCTTGACACCAGATTTTCTTCCACATGTCACACAGCATCACTTACAACTTGTGCAAGAATTGCAAAGAATTCTGGGAAATACTGCACTCTGCTGTGTCCATAGTTGCCTTAGCTGTAAATGGAATTTCAGGCACAATAAAATGCAGTGCCCCCCATCCCACAACCTCTCCCAACCTTCTGTTCTCCTAACCCCTCACCCTTGGAGACACAGCCAGAGCAGCACAGGACGGAGAGAACGCAAAGCAACCGGACCTGATGAGGAAGCACATTGCACCTAATGAAGCAGCTCCCTGGTGGCCAAACTCATTACAACAGATTCATGATTTGATTTAATTACGTGGACAAAATAAAAAAAAAAAAAAAAGGACAGGACTGCCTTGTCAGAACACAGTATGATTAAAAGGTTGAGGATACAACAGGAGAATCATCAGCGTTACACTGCCACATTAACACTTCTGAAAGTGCACATAAACTGAAATGAGCATAATGTGTGTATGCAAGCATGTTTATGTTTACGTGCAGGCCATGTGCAGTATGTCTCATTTGTTTTGGGAATTGTTTCTCTCTTGTGACTTTCCTGCAAAAAAGCCCCCTGAGGTATGAGCATGGCTCTGTAATACCTCTCCGCTCTCTGGCTGGAAACTTAGTTTCAGTGAATTATGCA